CTGCTTTCAACCAAGGGACTGTCTGTCTGTGTGTCTGGCATTCAGCTGCTTTCAACCAAGGGACTGTCTGTCTGTGTGTCTGGCATAGCCTATTCAGCTGCTTTCAACCAAGGGACTGTCTGTCTGTGTGTCTGGCATTCAGCTGCTTTCAACCAAGGGACTGTCTGTCTGTGTGTCTGGCATAGCCTATTCAGCTGCTTTCAACCAAGGGACTGTCTGTGTGTGTGTCTGTGTGTTGTTAGGAGGTACTGTCTGTGTGTGTCTGTGTGTTGTTAGGAGGTACTGTCTGTGTGTGTCTGTGTGTTGTTAGGAGGTACTGTCTGTGTGTGTCTGTGTGTTGTTAGGAGGTACTGTCTGTCTGTGTCTGTGTGTTGTTAGGAGGTACTGTGTGTGTGTGTCTGTGTGTTGTTAGGAGGTACTGTCTGTCTGTGTGTTGTTAGGAGGTACTGTCTGTGTGTGTCTGTGTGTTGTTAGGAGGTACTGTCTGTGTGTGTCTGTGTGTTTGTTAGGAGGTACTGTCTGGTGTGTGTCTGTGTGTTGTTTAGGAGGTACTGTCTGTGTGTGTCTGTGTTGTGGAGGAGGTACTGTCTGTGGTGTGTCGGTGTGGTTGTTAGGAGGTACTGTCTGTGTGTGTGTGTGTTGTTAGGAGGTACTGTCTGTGTGTGTCTGTGTGTTGTTAGGAGGTACTGTCTGTGTGGGTGTGTGTGTTGTAGGAGGTACTGTCTGGTGTTGGGTTCTGTTGTGTTGTTAGGAGGTACTGTCTGTGTGTGTTGTGTGTTGTTAGGAGGTACTGTCTGTGTGGTTGTGTGTTGTTAGGATGGTACTGTCTGTGTGTGGTGTCTGTGTGTTGTTAGGAGGTACTGTCTGTGTGTGTGTTGTTAGGAGGTACTGTCTGTGTTGTCTGTGTGTTGTTAGGAGGTACTGTCTGTGTGTGTGTTGTTAGGAGGTACTGTCTGTGTGTTGTTAGGTACTGTTGTCTGTGTGTTGTTAGGAGGTACTGTCTGTGTGGTTGTTAGGAGGTACTGTCTGGTGTGTGTGTGTGTTAGGAGGTACTGTCTGTCTGTGCGTGTTGTTAGGAGTAGCTGTCTGTTTGTGTTGTTGTTAGGAGGTACTGTCTGTTGTGTCTGTTGTTGTTAGGAGGACTGTCTGTCTGTGTCTGTGTGTTGTTAGGAGGTACTGTCTGTCTGTGTCTGTGTGTTGTTAGGAGGTACTGTCTGTGTGTGTCTGTGTGTTGTTAGGAGGTACTGTCTGTGTGTGTCTGTGTGTTGTTAGGAGGTACTGTCTGTTGTGTCTGTGTGTTGTTAGGTAGGTACTGTCTGTGTGTGTCTGTGTGTTGTTAGGAGGTACTGTCGTTGTTGTGTTGCTGTGTGTGTTGTAGGAAGTACTGTCTGTGTGTTGTTGTAATACATGCAGTAGATGTACCCCTTCTGTTAAGGTAGTGTCTTCGATGTTAGAAATAGTAAGCATGTATCTCAAGTCTTGATATTCCCTACCAAAGTAATTTTTCTCCCAACAGAGCTACAAAAGACAGTATATTTTCTGACCACAGAGCAGTTGAGCCCATTTTCATTTAACAGAATAACAGTAAACCAGAAAGACAGACGGCTTTTACATTGTTAAAAAAACATGACAAATGTAATGTCTGATGATTAATGCTGACCGCTGAGTGGCTGAATGTATCCTTCTCTCTCATTCCCCCTCTCCCTGCACCCATCTCCCTCTCCTCTCATTCCCCCTCTCCCTGCATCCCTCCCTCTTCTCTCTCATTCCCCCTCTCCCTGCATCCCTCCCTCTCTCATTCCCCCTCTCCCTGCATCCCTCCCTCTCCTCTCATTCCCCCTCTCCCTGCATCCCTCCCTCTCCTCTCTCATTCCCCCTCTCCCTGCATCCCTTCCCTCTCCTCTCTCATTCCCCCTCTCCCTGCATCCCTCCCTCTCCTCTCTCATTCCCCCTCTCCCTGCATCCTCCCTCTTCTCTCTCATTCCCCCTCTCCCTGCATCCCTTCCTCTCCTCTCTCATTCCCCTCTCCCTGCATCCCTCCCTCTCCTCTCATTCCCCCTCTCCCTGCATCCCTCCCTCTCCTCTCTCATTCCCCCTCTCCCTGCCATCCTCCCCTCTCCTCTCTCATTCCCCCTCTCCCTGCACCCCTCCCTCTCCTCTCTCATTCCCCCTCTCCCTGCATCCCTCCCTCTCCTCTCATTCCCCCTCTCCCTGCATCCCTCCCTCTTCTCTCATTCTCCCTCTCCCTGCATCCCTCCCTCTCTCTCTCTCATCCTTCCCCCTCTCCCTGCATCCCTCCCCTCTCTCATTCCCCCTCTCCCTGCATCCCTCCCTCTTCTCTCTCCTACTCCCTCTCCCTCATCCCTCCCTCTTCTCTCTCATTCCCCCTCTCCCTGCATCCCTCCCTCTCCTCTCATTCCCCCTCTCCCTGCATCCCTCCTCTCCTCTCATTCCCCCTCTCCCTGCATCCCTCCCTCTCCTCTCCCCATTCCCCCCCCCCCTCTCCCTGCAATCCCTCCTCTTCTCTCATTCTCCCTCTCCTGCATCCCTCCCTCTCCTCTCTCATTCCCCCTCTCCCTGCATCCCTCCCTCTCCTCTCTCATTCCCCCTCTCCCTGCATCCCTCCCTCTCCTCTCATTCCCCCTCTCCCTGCATCCCTCCCTCTCCTCTCTCATTCCCCCTCTCCCTGCACCCATCTCCCTCTCCTCTCATTCCCCCTCTCCCTGCATCCCTCCCTCTCCTCTCTCATTCCCCCTCTCCCTGCATCCCTCCCTCTCCTCTCTCATTCCCCCTCTCCCTGCATCCCTCCCTCTCCTCTCATTCCCCCCTCTCTGCATCCCTCCCTCTCCTCTCTCATTCCCCTCTCCCTGCATCCTCGCTTTCCCTCCCTCTCCTCTCATTCCCTCTCCCTGCATCCCTCCCTCTCCTCTCTCATTCCCCCTCTCCCTGCATCCCTCCCTCTCTCATTCCCCCTCTCCACTGCATCCCTCCCTCTCCTCTCTCATTCCCCCTCTCCCTGCATCCCTCCCCTCCTCTCATTCCCCCTCTCCCTGCATCCCTCCCTCCCATTCCCCCTCTCCCTGCATCCTCCCTCTCCTCTCTCATTCCCCCTCTCCCTGCATCCCTCCCTCTCCTCTCTCATTCCCCCTCTCCCTGCATCCCTCCCTCTCCTCTCATTCCCCCTCTCCCTGCATCCCTCCCTCTCCTCTCTCATTCCCCCTCTCCCTGCATCCCTCCCATCTCCTCTCATTCCCCCTCTCCCTGCATCCCTCCCTCTCCTCTCTCATTCCCCCCTCTCCCTGCATCCCTCCCTCTCCTCTCTCATTCCCCCTCTCCCTGCATCCCTCCCTCTCCTCTCATTCCCCCTCTCCCCTGCATCCCTCCCTCTCCTCTCATTCCCCCTCTCCCTGCATCCCTCCCTCTCCTCTCTCATTCCCCTCTCCCTGCATCCCTCCCTCTCCTCTCATTCCCCCTCTCCCTGCATCCCTCCCTCTTCTCTCGTTCTCCTCCTTGAAAATGTAATCGGTAGTTATCCTTAATAATATTATAATATATATTACATCCTTAATAATATTATATATATTTTATCCTTAATAATATTATAATACATCTTTCAGAGGGTATAATATTATAGTCAGGGAAATCCCAAATAGATAAGAGTCTAGATGTCCGTCAGCTAGCGCGCTAACACTAAGGCTAGATGGAAAAAGTTACAAAACTCCCTTAGCTTACTTCACAGAGAACATGCCGAAAAGTTGACCAAACAAAAAAGGACAACAGACGAGGTACTACACAATTAGAGCAAGTAGGTATGATTTTCTCTTTCATTTTGAGCCCATGGGAAGAAGGCACCAGAGCCTGCTGTGCTAACGGGTTCCCACTAGATAACACAGCCACAAACTCTGTGACGAGCATGAGCATGTGCCCCATCTGCTTCCTGTGATTGGTGGATTGTAGCTCAGCACCGCCAACCCTTGGTCTGGAATGTAATTACATGCTAGCATGGCTAGTGGCTAACGTTAGCCAGCTTGAGCTAGCTACTGAGCTAGCATACAAACTCGGTAGTACAGAGTAGATCCTCTATATGACGTTGAGAAACAGTACATTGTGGGTAGTTTAGAAGATATCCAGAAATGAGATAAATATGTAATAACCCCAAAAAACATCTGTTTGTCGTTATAGGTAACCAGATGGTGACTACAACTAAGTTACTAAGACTTTGACCACACTGTGTTGTTACATTGGTGAGTAAAAACTCTTGCTTCCTACCCTTTAACCACAAAGAAAACTGACAAGGCAGACCCAGTGTCAGAAGTTAGTTTAACCTGTACAGTTTAACTGGGGGATTGAGCCTCAAACCAACAGAGAGAGAGAGAGAGAGAGACGGGTGACAGTTTAAAGAGACCGATCCAAAACCGCTGTCAGTCAACAGCGCCACCCTGTGGTGAATTATATAAGAGCAGCCTGCCTGTCAGTCACTAGTTCTATCATGTTCGCCTAATGTCCGTTTTTGACAAACCAAGCAATCTATAGTCTAGAGAATAATTGTAGCATCCATATATTTTAAATCAACAAAAATATCGAATTTTTTAGCTGTTTAAAGCCATCATACAAAACCGAAAGTAAGACAAAACAAAAACCAAACTTAAGCACGGGAAGCATAGAAATAGCGCACATAGAACGCATCTACTGCATATCAGACTGGCTTTCAATGAGTACGACAGGTCTATAACTCACATCTCTATTTTGAATCCCACAAAACGTGTATACTACCGTACATACTCTGGTGATGGGGATTTGGAATGAGTTCTTTTGAAAACTGAAATTATGAACAAAAAGAATGTCATGATTTCAATTAGGAGTCCATTTCTTATGTTTATTTTGTTAAGGGAAGTTGTTACATCCCCCCCGGAAAAACACAGAACCCAGATCGCAAGTCCTCTACTCCACAATGTGAAAGAACACACACACACACACACAGACACACTCTCTTATTCAGACACACACACACACACACACAGACAGACAGACAGACACACTCTCTCTTATTCAGACACACACACACACACAGACAGACAGACACTCTCTCTTATTCAGACACACACACACACACACAGACACACTCTCTCTTATTGAGACACACACGGGGCTGGATATATATTCATAGTTGTCTTCTGATCGTGATCATTCGAGTCAGGACATGACCAAGTCTAGGTCTCTGTAGAAAAGGATGTGTGTGTGTGTGTGAGAGAGGGGGCGGGGCATAAGGTCCTGGGGTGTCTAATCATTGTCTTCATCCTCTTCTTCACTCTCCTCGATCCCGTCACTGTCCTCCTGTTCCTCGTCCTCCTCCTCCGTCTCTGGGATGTCCCACTGGGGGTGGTTATCCAACACCGCCTTGGCCTCGTGTACCTCCAGCTGTCACACAGTTACAAGACAATACACAGTTACAAGACAATACACCGTTACGTTACAATACACAGTTACAATACACCGTTACGTTACAATACACCGTTACGTTACAATACACCGTTACAAGACAATACACCGTTACGTTACAATACACCGTTACAAGACAATACACCGTTACGTTACACCGTTACGTTACAATACACAGTTACAAGACAATACACAGTTACAAGACAATACACAGTTACTTTACAATACACAGTTACGTTACAATACACAGTTACGTTACAATACACCGTTACAAGACAATACACAGTTACAAGACAATACACAGTTACGTTACAATACACCGTTACGTTACAATACACCGTTACGTTACAATACACAGTTACAAGACAATACACCGTTACGTTACAATACACCGTTACGTTACAATACACAGTTACAAGACAATACACCGTTACGTTACAATACACCGTTACGTTACAATACACAGTTACAAGACAATACACAGTTACAAGACAATACACAGTTACGTTACAATACACCGTTACGTTACAATACACCGTTACGTTACAATACACAGTTACAAGACAATACACCGTTACGTTACAATACACAGTTACGTTACAATACACAGTCGGAGACTGCAGAAGGAAATTAGCTGCTGATTTGAATCCTGTCTCCACACAGTTTGAAGTACAATACCAGCATAGCTACTGTAGCAGGTCAACGCTGTTAGTTATTAATAAAACACGTGATTATAATACAGTGCCTTCGGAATTGATTCAGACCCCTTGACTTTTTCCACATTTTGTTACGTTACAGCCTTATTCTAAAATTGATCACATTGTTTTTTCCCCTCATCAATCTACACACACAATACCCCATAATGACCCAAGACCCCATAACGACCCAAGACCCCATAATGACCCAAGACCCCATAATGACCCAAGACCCCATAATGACCCAAGACAAATAAAGAATATAAAAAGGAAATATGACATTTACATAAGTATTCAGACCCTTTACTCAGTACTTTGCTGAAGCACCTTTGGCAGCGATTACAGCCTCCAGTCTTCTTGGGTATGACCCTACAAGCTTGGCACACCTGCATTTGGGGAGTTTCTCCCATTCTTCTCTGCAGATCCTCTCAAGCTCTGTCAGGTTGGATGGGGAGCGTCGCTGCACAGCTATTTTCAGGTCTCTCCAGAGATGTTCAATCGGGTTCAAGTCCGGGCTCTGGCTGGGCCACTCAAGGATATTCAGAGATTTGTCCCGAAGCCACTCCTGCGTTGTCTTGGCTGTGTATTTAGGGTCGTTGTCCTGTTGGAAGGTGAACCTTCACCCCAGTCTGAGATCCTGAGCGCTCTGGAGTAGGTTTTCATCAAGGATCTCTCTGTACTTTGCTCCGTTCATCTTTCCCTCGATCCTGACTAGTCTCCCAGTCCCTGGCGCTGAAAAACATCCCCACAGCATGATGCTGCCACCACCATGCTTCACAGTAGGGATGGTACCAGGTTTCCTCCAGACGTGATGGTTGGCATTCAGGCCAAAGCGTTCAATCTTGGTTTCATCAGACCAGAGAATCTTGTTTCTCATGGTCTGAGAGTCCTTTAGGTGCCTTTTGGCAAACTCCATGCGGGCTGTCATGTGCCTTTTACTGAGGAGTGGCTTCCGTCTGGCCAATCTACCATAAAGGCCTGATTGGTGGAGTGCTGCAGAGATGGTTGTCCTTCTGGAAGGTTCTCCCATCTCCACAGAAGAACTCTGGAGCTCTGTCAGAGTGACCATCAGGTTCGTGGTCACCTCCCTGACCAAGGCCCTTCTCCCCCGATTGCTCAGTTTGGCCGGGCGGCCAGCTCTAGGAAGAGTCTTGGTGGTTCCAAACTTCTTCCATTTAAGAATGATGGAGGCCACTGTGTTCTTGGGGACCTTCAATGCTGCACACACTTTTTTGGTACCCTTCCCCAGATCTGTGCCTTGACACAATCCTGTCTTGGAGCTCTATGGACAATTCCTTCGACTTCATGGCTTGGTTTTTGCTCTGACATGCACTGTCAACTGTGGGACCTTATATAGACAGGTGTGTGCCTTTCCAAATCATGTCCAATCAATTGAATTTACCACAGGTGGACTTCAATCAAGTTGTAGAAACATCTCAAGGATGATCAATGGAAACAGGATGCACCTGAGCTCAATTTCGAGTCTCATAGCAAAGGGTTTGAATACTTATGTAAAAAAGGTATTTTTAATACATTTGCAAACATTTCTAAAAACCTGTTTTCGCTTTGTCATTATAGGGTATTGTGTGTAGATTGATAAGGATTTTAAATACATTTTAGAATAAGGCTGTAACGTAACAAAATGTGGAAAAAGTCAAGGGGTCTGAATACTTTCCAAAGGCACTGTATATATACACACACACACAGGTGAGTTGTAACGTCTCACCTTGAGTGGTCTGATCTGGTCCAGGCCCAGGTAAGAGTCGGAGCGCAGGATAACAGAGTACTGGTAGTTCCCTGTTTTAGAGGGAGCCGGGAACTTCAGCTCCACCTGTGAGAGTGAGAGAGAGCGTACACTGAGTACACCAAACATTAAGAACACCTTCCTAATGTTGAGTTGCACCCCCCCCCCCCTTCCTTTTGTCCTCAGAACAGCCTCAATTCGTCGGGGCATGGACCCTACAAGGTGTGGAAAGCGTTCCACAGGGATGCTGGCCCATGTTGACTCCAACGCTTCCCACAGTTGTGTCAAGTTGTCTGGATGTCCTTTGGATGGTGGTACACACGGGAAACTGTTGAGCGTGAAAAACCCAGCAGCGTTGCAGTTCTTGACACAAACCGGTGCGCCTGGCACCTACTACCATACCCCGTTCAAAGGCACTTAAATATTTTGTCTTGCCCATTCACCCTCTGAATGGCACACATACATAATCCATGTCTCAATTGTCTCAAGGCTTAAAAATCCTTCTTTAACCTGTCTCCTCCCCTTCATCTACACTGATTGAAGTGGATTTAACAGGTGACATCAATAAGGTATCATAGCTTTTACCTGGATTCACCTGGTCAGTCTGTCATGGAAAGAGCAGGTGTTGTTAATGTTTTGTATAGTCAGTGTGTTTAATACAGATATAAAACGGGTAGTCTGGTAGTCCCCTTCAGCTCCCTCTGGGATGAACCAACACCACACTGCTGTTACAACCAACTACACAACATGACAATAACTGTTTCCACATTGCTAGCAGCGGCAGGTAGCCTAGCGGTTGGGGTCAGTAACCGAAAGGTTGCTGGTTCGAATCCCCGAGCCAGCAAGGTGGAAAAATATGCCCTTCTACCCTTGAGCAAGGCAGTTAACCCCCAACAACAACTGCTCCCGGGCGCCGATGACGTGGACATCGATTAAGGCAGCCCCCCCGCACCTCTCTGATTCAGAGGGGTTGGGTTAAATGTGGAAGACGCATTTCAGTTGAATGCATTCAGTTGTACAACTGACTAGGTATCCCATTTCCCAAATTTAGCGCGTTGGGCCAGTACCCCGAAAGGTCGCTGGTTGGAATCCCGGACCCAACAAAGTGAAAAATGTGTGTCTTTGTGCTCTTGAGCAAGGGGCGTCTCAGCTGACCCCGGCCCCACTCTCTGAGGGAGCGTCTCAGCTGACCCCGGCCCCACTCTCTGAGGGAGTCTCTGCTGACCCCGGCCCCACTCTCTGAGGGAGTCTCAGCTGACCCCGGCCCCACTCTCTGAGGGAGTCTCAGCTGACCCCGGCCCCACTCTCTGAGGGAGTCTCAGCTTACCCCTGCCCCACTCTCTGAGGGAGTCTCAGCTGACCCCGGCCCCACTCTCTGAGGGAGCGTCTCAGCTGACCCCGGCCCCACTCTCTGAGGGAGCGTCTCAGCTGACCCCGGCCCCACTCTCTGAGGGAGTCTCAGCTGACCCCGGCCCCACTCTCTGAGGGAGTCTCAGCTGACCCCGGCCCCACTCTCTGAGAGGGAGTCTCAGCTGACCCCGGCCCCACTCTCTGAGGGAGTCTCAGCTGACCCCGGCCCCACTCTCTGAGGGAGTCTCAGCTGACCCTGGCCCCACTCTCTGAGGGAGCGTCTCAGCTGACCCCGGCCCCACTCTCTGAGGGAGTCTCAGCTGACCCCGGCCCCACTCTCTGAGAGGGAGTCTCAGCTGACCCCGGCCCCACTCTCTGAGGGAGTCTCAGCTGACCCCGGCCCCACTCTCTGAGGGAGTCTCAGCTGACCCCGGCCCCACTCTCTGAGGGAGTCTCAGCTGACCCCGGCCCCACTCTCTGAGGGAGTCTCAGCTGACCCCGGCCCCACTCTCTGAGGGAGTCTCAGCTGACCCCGGCCCCACTCTCTGAGGGAGCGTCTCAGCTGACCCCGGCCCCACTCTCTGAGGGAGTCTCAGCTGACCCCGGCCCCACTCTCTGAGGGAGTCTCAGCTGACCCCGGCCCCACTCTCTGAGGGAGTCTCAGCTGACCCCGGCCCCACTCTCTGAGGGAGCGTCTCAGCTGACCCCGGCCCCACTCTCTGAGGGAGTCTCAGCTGACCCCGGCCCCACTCTCTGAGGGAGCGTCTCAGCTGACCCCGGCCCCACTCTCTGAGGGAGTCTCAGCTGACCCCGGCCCCACTCTCTGAGGGAGTCTCAGCTGACCCCGGCCCCACTGAGGGAATAGACACATTTAAGCACCACCAAAATGATTAATACCACTACCGCTACTACTATTGCTGCTACTACTACTACTACCACCACCACTACTACTACTACTGCTACTACTACAACAAATGTAAGCACCACCCAAATGATTAATACTACTACTACTACTACTACTACTACTACTACTACTACTACTACTACTACTACTACTACTATTGCTACTACTACCACTACTACTACAAATGTAAGCACCACCCAAATGATTCATACTACTACTTTTGACAGACACACACACACATACCTACCTCACTCACTGCCCCAGCACTTAGAACGAACACACACAATCTCACCTCTTCTGTGTCTTTGAGTGTGCAGACGTGGTATGGCATGGAGACTAGAGTCTGGTCCTTGCGGTCAGCAATGTAAAGCCACCACCACTCATGTTTCTCCTCTGGGTAGTACAGGCTGTACACTGGGTGGGTGACCTTGGACTTGGTCTCCAACAGGGCCCTCTCCCTCCGCTGGATACTCTGCTGCAGCGCCTCCCACTCCTAGAGAGGGGGGGGAGGGGGGTTATACATTATCTATACCAGGGCCCTCTCCCTCCGCTGGATACTCTGCTGCAGGGCCTCCCACTCCTGGAGGGGGGAGGGGGGGGGGGGGGGGTTATACATTATCTATACCAGGGCCCTCTCCCTCCGCTGGATACTCTGCTGCAGCGCCTCCCACTCCTAGAGGGGGGGGGGGGGGGGGGTTATACCTAATCTATACCAGGGCTCTTCAACCCTGTTCCTGGAGAGCTACCCTCCTGTAGGTTTTAACTCCAACCCTGTTCCTGGAGAGCTACCCTCCTGTAGAATTTAACTTCAACCCTGTCCCTGGAGAGCTACCCTCCTGTAGAATTTAACTTCAACCCTGTTCCTGGAGAGCTACCCTCCTGTAGAATTTAACTTCAACCCTGTTCCTGGAGAGCTACCCTCCTGTAGAATTTAACTTCAAACCTGTTCCTGGAGAGCTACCCTCCTGTAGAATTTAACTTCAAACCTGTTCCTGGAGAGCTACCCTCCTGTAGAATTTAACTTCAACCCTGTTCCTGGAGAGCTACCCTCCTGTAGGTTTGAACTCCAACCCCGTTCCTGGAGAGCTACCCTCCTGTAGAATTTAACTTCAACCCTGTTCCTGGAGAGCTACCCTCCTGTAGGTTAACTCCAACCCCGTTCCTGGAGAGCTACCCTCCTGTAGGTTTTAACTCCAACCCTGTTCCTGGAGAGCTACCCTCCTGTAGGTTTTAACTCCAACCCTGTTCCTGGAGAGCTACCCTCCTGTAGGTTTTAACTCCAACCCTGTTCCTGGAGAGCTACCCTCCTGTAGGTTTTAACTCCAACCCTGTTCCTGGAGAGCTACCCTCCTGTAGGTTTTAACTCCAACCCTGCTCCTGGAGAGCTACCCTCCTGTAGGTTTTAACTCCAACCCCGTTCCTGGAGAGCTACCCTCCTGTAGGTTTGAACTCCAACCCCGTCCCCAGGAACGGTTGGAGAGCCCTGGGCTACACACACAGGTCCATTCTCCTAAACACGTTCTCTATTCTACACAAATCTAAAACCATGGATTGGTAAAAGCTGGGACTCCAGTCCTCGGGGGCCGGAGTGGTGTCACACTTTTCCCCCCATCCCTAGCAACACAGCTGATTTAAACTAATTGCATTCTAGATCATGATTAGTTGACTATTGGAGTCAGGTGTGTTAGCTGGGACAGGGGCAAAGGTGAGACACCTATCAGCCCCCAGGATTGGAGTTACCCATCCACGTGCTACAGGGAGTTTCCATATACCAATCCCTTTCAAAACCATGACTTCAGACTTCAGACTTGGGGAGAAAGGAGAGATTATTTGGGACGTAACCACAGGTGTCTGACCTCCTCGTCGTCCCCGGCGATCTCATCCTGCTCCGTGTCGCTCTGTTTGTCGCTCTCCTCATCTCTCTCGCTCGGAGAATCTTTGTTCCCCTCGCCCTCCTCTGATTCGCTGCCCTTGTCTGACCCGTCCTCCTCATCCTCCTTCGCCACGGCAACCACCTCCTAAACACAAACAGGGATCAATAAAGTTGAATCAAAACAGATGGGTTAGTTTATATACCAGACCTGGGATCAAATACATGCATTTTTAAGTATTTGTTAATACTTTCCTGTGTATTTGGGTATTTTCAAATAATGTGGCCGAATCAACTACTTCTATTTGAAGTGTTTGAAAGTATTTTACATTTTGAAATACCCCTACGACCAAACAGACCTGGGTTCAAATGCATAATGAGTATTTAAATACCTGTGTTTGAAAATACACTGTATTTGAGTATTTTTAAATACATATAAATATATTCCAATACTCAACTACTTTGAAATGTTTTTGAAAGTAATTGAAATACCCTAAATAGTGTTTGAATCCAGGTCCGTTACTCGCATAATACATGGCTCAACCTTCTGTTTTAGCATGAGTGAAAGAAGTAAGACAACTTGTGGTCGAAACATCCTTCTGATTACAGTTATTAATTAAAACAATCCGATTGGATCGACTCTGATTGGCTGCTTACACTTCCTGACGCGCTCCCATTGGCCTGTTTGGCCTTGACTGCTGGCAGTGGGAGGGGCTTCTTCTTGGTGAGTTTCTTCTTCTTTGACTGCTTGGTTTTCTTGGCTGCTTTGGTTTTGCTCTGCCACACCTTGGCTTTGGTTTTACTGGCGTCTCCCTGCTGCACCGACACATACAGGGCATCCACAAGTTGGGTTCTCAGTCTTTGCGTGTGCGTTGTCAAATGTGTGTGTGTGTGTGTGTGTGTAGTCAGATTGTGTGTGTGTGTGTGTATTGTCAGATTGTGTGTGTGTGTATATTGTCATGAAGGGCCAGTATGAAAAAAAAAAAAAATGTATGCACTAACTGTAAGTGGCTCTGGATAAGAGCGTCTGCTAAATGACTACAATGTAAATGTTGTCAGATTGTGTGTGTTCAGACGTTTCGTACCGCGGCAGCATCCTCTGTACTGGCTTCCTCTCCGACTCCGAGACAAGGTGTCGCATTCTGCTCCTTCTCAAACACCTCCTACACACACACACACACACACACCCCCCACAGTAGCTAAAGTCACACATGGAATTCTACGAAGCAATATAGATTTGTTTTTAGAAGGTCCAAGGATCATTTAGCTATTTGATTTGGAATTTTAAGACCCATTGAAGTATAAAAAAAGTAATAATATTTGTTCATTTAAAAGTTGGCCTTCCTGCTGTTAGCCCATCAGGATTACTATTACATTTAGATATATTTTTTACATGTATTTAACCACTTATTTTGCCACTAAACAGTCTCTATATACACTTCCATTACTGTTTCCAACTGGTACCGGGGAACCTACAGACGGGTCTTGTGAGGCCTGTTGGCAAAACAACTGACACGTACGTGTTTGTGAGAGTCTCTTCTTTACATAGATAGAAACCGTTCGAATGCTACAGACTTATTTAGTGAGAAGACCGATTTTTCGGGACGTCTCATGGTCTGACAAACATCGCTCTAGCTCTGTCACCTTTCACCCCAGATGAGGAAGTGTTACATCAGCCGATGCGGTGGATTGAGATGCATCCACCAATGCAAAAAAATAAAAAGATCTCTACCTTTAAACGGATGGATTTTAAACGGGGATTTTTGTATTATCCTAATTCGATTTCAGTGGGGCCGCGTAAAATTGACTCTAGGGGTTAAACTAACAAGCATTTCTATTGGTTAATTGCCTGGTATTGTGACTTGAGCTGCATGTATTTAAACGCCCGTTTTTCTGTTTCTTGGCAGCCGCCCCACAGGAAATGATGCAGTCTGGAGACACGACGTCTTCGTTTGGTGAGAGCACGACGTCTTCGTTTGGTGAGAGCACGACGTCTTCGTTCGGTGAGAGCACATGGCTAAAATGGAGCTACTATGATCAAATCAAAAGGCCTGCCTGCTGGACTGTGTCGCTTCCTGTACCCCTTTTGGATTGGTTTGTTATGTGGATTTAAAATAGCATAGTTTGTAAGGCTAATCCTATAACAAATTGTGGAAATGATTTACGGAACTGAAATATGAATGTGAACCCGAGAACCTGCTTGAACTTTGATTTCAACTTGTGGAGAACCATGCCTTAAGGAAACAACAAACGGTTTGTCCTACACAACTATTACGGCCCCTCTGTGGAATGGGCAGACTCAGGAACACTGTGGTGTCCTCCGTTTTGTCACCAGACTCGTCTGAAGGTAACCCATACAAACGAATGGAAGTATGCAGGTAGTTCTGTGCCAACATAAATAAGGGGTGAAATATGTGTCCAAAAAAACTAAAATATTTCCTGAGATTTCTTAGATATAAGACAGACACTTCAAAACCTTCTTCCTTATGATATATTTTTAGACTGTATTTTTTTTAAAAACCATTTATGAATGTGTTATTCAATGTGTCCTTTAGTCGCTCAACCCGGACCTAGTGAAATTCTCCCCCTCCCTTACCGCCATCCTCTTCCTGGTCAGGGTGACCGTAACCGTGACGATGGATCCAGCTGTGATGTTATTGCTGTCTTCATCGTCCAGGACTGGAGAGAGAACAGAAGACAGCAGGTCAGAGCTGAGGCTGGAGTAACAACAACGTAGAGAAAAACTAACCTTACCAAACAAATTAAGAACTTATTCTCTTCAAACACATTTGTTTAGTGTCATCTAAGGACCTGTTACGCCGTTAGATATGGTTTCATGTCAGTATGTGTTGGGACAGCCTGCAGGACCTAAAATTGAGTGACTATGAACACAAACTCCAGAGCAGGAGACCTCACCCTGCAGCTTGGTTTCCATGGTGATGTGGGGGAAGCTGGCGAGCACGGCCATAACCTCGTCGTACTTCTCCTCGCCAAGGAAACGGAGCATGCTCCGACGGTCCGAGTCCTTCAGGCTGACCAGGTCCTGCAGGCTACGCACCTTATACTGGGGAGAGGTTACTATAGTTACCATACCATAACACACTGTATACCAGTTACCATAGTTACACATCTTATACTGGAGGGAGGAGGGGGGAGGGTATAGGGGGGGGGGGGGAGAGGAGGGAAGGAGGGGGGGGGGGGGGGGGGGGGGGGAGTGTTAATATGCTATGGCTCCATCTCAATTGGTCTTATTGCAATTCCTCGCATCCTATCTCCTCACATCCTATCTCATTGCATCCTTCTCAACTGTATTGGAGGACAAGATCCAAGGTCCCTCCCCTCAGATGTTCTCCTCCAATGGGTTTTGACGAGGAATGGAGGAAAGATGAATTGAGAAAGAGCCCTTGAATACAGAACCACGTGGCTGGGCGGTTGGTACCTTCTTGGAGATGCAGTATCGGAGGTGTTCCTCTTCAAAGTGTGGCAGCTGCAGCAGAGGAGACTTGGACTCCTGGAGACCCTGGACTATCATCTGAGTCAGCTTCATACAGTTCTCTATGGACACCAGCCTGGGGGCATGGAACCCTGCACACACACACAGGGGAGTATGCATTTGTTGCCTGCCTGTGTGTGTCAGCTAGGTAAAGTGTGTGTGTGTGTGTGTGTGTGTGTGTGTGTGTACCTCCTCTGCTGTTGGCCATCATGGTGAGTTGACATCCCACGTTGACCATCTCCTGGAGCAGAGCTGGACTCTTCCTCACCACAAACCTCTGGTCTGCAACACACACAGAGAGAGAGTGAGCCACAGAGCGAGAGAGCGCGAGAGCCACAGAGCGAGAGAGCCACAGAGCGAGAGAGCGCGAGAGCCACAGAGCGAGAGAGCGCGAGAGCCACAGAGCCACAGAGCGCGAGAGCCACAGAGCCACAGAGCGAGAGAGCCACAGAGCGAGAGAGCCACAGAGCGAGAGAGCCACAGAGCGAGAGAGCCACAGAGCGCGAGAGCCACAGAGCGAGAGAGAGAGCGCGAGAGCCACAGAGCGAGAGAGAGAGCGCGAGAGCCACAGAGCGAGAGAGAGAGCGCGAGAGCCACAGAGCGAGAGAGAGAGCGCGAGAGCCACAGAGCGAGAGAGAGAGCGCGAGAGCCACAGAGCGCGAGAGCCACAGAGCGAGAGAGCCACAGAGCGAGAGACACAGAGCGAGAGACACAGAGCGAGAGACACAGAGCGAGAGACAGAGCGAGAGACAGAGCGAGAGAGAGCGAGACACAGAGCGAGGCACAGAGAGAGAGACACAGAGCGAGGCACAGAGCGAGGCACAGAGCGAGAGAGAGACGGACCCACTGGTTGCCCTCTAGGTTACAGAGAGCTGGTAGTCCCATCCACCAATTTCCCAGGTGTGAAACAGGGAAGGGACTCAGGGGGTATGCTAATTTGTTGTAGAGTTCATTCTATTAAATTAATCAAAACATGAACATTTTATATTTGGCTAGAAATTCAAAAATAGATTATCTCAACAGAGAAAAACATCCTCCTGTGTGCTACCTACATCCCCCCACTAGAATCCCCATACTTTAATGAAGACAGCTTCTCCATCCTGGAGGGGGAAATCAATCACTTCCAGACCCAGGGACATGTACTAGTCTGTGGCGACCTAAATGCCAGAACTGGACAAGAACCTGACACCCTCAGCACACAGGGGGACAAACACCTACCTGAGGTGACAGCATTCCCTCCCCCATATGCCCCCCTAGACACAACTACGACAACATAACCAACAAAAACAGGTCACAACTCCTGCAGCTCTGTCGCACGCTGGGTCTGTACATAGTCAATGGCAGGCTTGGAGGGGACTCCTATGGTAGGTACACCTATAGCTCATCTCTAGGCAGTAGTACTGTAGACTACTTTATCACTGACCTCAACCCAGAGTCTCTCAGAGTGTTCACAGTCAGCCCACTGACACCCCTATCAGACCACAGCAAAATCACAGTCTACTTGAACAGAGCAATACTCAATCATGAGGCATCAAAGCCAAAGGAACTGAATAATATTAAGAAATGCTATAGATGAAATGAAAGTAGTGTCGAAACCTACCAAAAAACAATTAGGCAACAACAAATTCAATCCCTTTTAGACAACTTCCTGGACAAAACGTTCCACTGTAATAGTGAAGGTGTAAACTTGGCAGTAGAAAACCTAAACAGTATATTTGACCTCTCAGCTTCCCTATCAAATCTAAACATCTCTAACAGAAAACCTGAGAAAATTAACAACAATGACAAATGGTTTGATGAAGAATGCAAAAACCTAAGAAAGAAATTGAAAAACCTATCCAACCAAAACATAGAGACCCAGAAAACCTGAGCCTACGCCTTCACTATGGTGAATCACTAAAACAATACAGAAATACACTACGGAAAAATAAGGAACAGCACGTCAGAAATCAGCTCAATGTAATTGAAGAACTCATTGACTAACCACTTTTGGGAAAATTGGAAAACACTAAACAAACAACAACACGAAGAGTTATCTATCCAAAACGGAGATGTATGGGTAAACCACTTCTCCAATCGTTTTGGCCCTATAACAAAGAACAAACAGCAAAAACATATCCATGATCAAATACAAATCTTAGAATCAACTATTAAAGACTACCAGAACCCACTGGATTCTCCAAATTACATTGAATGAACTACAGAACAAAATACAAACCCTCCAACCCAAAAATGCCTGTGGTGTTGATGGTATCCTCAATAAAATTATCAAAGATACAGACCACAAATTCCAATTGGCTATACTTAAACTCTAACATCATCCTCAGCTCTGGCATCTTCCCCAATATTTAGAACCAAGGACTGATCACCCCAATCCACAAAAGTGGAGACACATTTGACCCCAATAACTACAGTGGGATATGCGTCAACAGCAACCTTGGGAAAATCCTCTGCATTATCATTAATAGCAGACTCGTAGATTTCCTCTGTGAAAACAAGGTACTGAGCAAATGTCAAATTAGCTTTTTACCAAATTACCGTTCGACAGACCACGTATTCACCCTGCACACCCTAATTGACAAACAAACAAACCAAAACAAAGGAAAAGTCTTCTCATGCTTTGTTGATTTCAAAAAAGCTTTTGACTCAATTTGGCATGAGGGTCTGCTATACAAATTGATGGAAAGTGGTGTTGGGGGAAAAACATACGACATTATAAAATCCATGTACACAAACAATAGTGCGGTTAAAATTGGCCCAAAAAACAAATTTATTTCCACAGGGCCGTGGGGTGAGACAGGGACGCAGCTTAAGCCTTAATCTGGGGGGGCCTATATACAGTGGGGGGAAAAAAGTATTTAGTCAGCCACCAATTGTGCAAGTTCTCCCACTTAAAAAGATGAGAGGCCTGTAATTTTCATAATAGGTACACGTCAACTATGACAGACAAAATGAGAAAATAAATTACAGAAGATCACATTTTAGGATTTTTTATGAATTTATTTGCAAATTATGGTGGAAAATAAGTATTTGGTCAATAACAAAAGTTTCTCAATACTTTGTTATATACCCTTTGTTGGCAATGACACAGGTCAAATGTTTTCTGTAAGTCTTCACAAGGTTCACACTGTTGCTGGTATTTTGGCCCATTCCTCCATGCAGATCTCCTCTAGAGCAGTGATGTTTTGGGGCTGTCGCTGGGCAACACAGACTTTCAACTCCCTCCAAAGATTTTCTATGGGGTTGAGATCTGGAGACTGGCTAGGCCACTCCAGGACCTTGAAATGCTTCTTATGAAGCCACTCCTTCGTTGCCCGGGCGGTGTGTTTGGGATCATTGTCATGCTGAAAGACCCAGCCACATTTCATCTTCAATGCCCTTGCTGATGGAAGGAGGTTTTCACTCAAAATCTCACGATACATGGCCCCATTCATTCTTTCCTTTACCCGGATCAGTCGTCCTGGTCCCTTTGCAGAAAAACAGCCCCAAAGCATGATGTTTCCACCCCCATGCTTCACAGTAGGTATGGTGTTCTTTGGATGCAACTCAGCATTCTTTGTCCTCCAAACACGACGAGTTGAGTTTTTACCAAAAAGTTCTATTTTGGTTTCATCTGACCATATGACATTCTCCCAATCCTCTTCTGGATCATCCAAATGCACTCTAGCAAACTTCAGACGGTCCTGGACATGTACTGGCTTAAGCAGGGGGACACGTCTTGCACAGCAGGATTTGAGTCCCTGGCGGCGTAGTGTGTTACTGATGGTAGGCTTTGTTACTTTGGTCCCAGCTCTCTGCAGGTCATTCACTAGGGTCCCCCTGTGCGGTTCTGGGATTTTTGCTCACCGTTCTTGTGATCATTTTGACCCCACGGGGTGAGATCTTGCGTGGAGCCCCACATCGAGGGAGATTGTCAGTGGTCTTGTATGTCTTCTATTTCCTAATAATTGCTCCCACAGTTGATTTCTTCAAACCAAGCTGCTTACCTATTGCAGATTCAGTCTTCCCAGCCTGGTGCAGGTCTACAATTTTGTTTCTGGTGTCCTTTGACAGCTCTTTGGTCTTGGCCATAGTGGAGTTTGGAGTGTGACTGTTTGGAGGTTGTGGACAGGTGTCTTTTATACTGATAACAAGTTCAAACAGGTGCCATTAATACAGGTAACGAGTGGAGGACAGAGGAGCTTCTTAAAGAAGAAGTTACAGGTCTGTGAGAGCCAGAAATCTTGCTTGTTTGTAGGTGACCAAATACTTATTTTCCACCATAATTTGCAAATAAATTCATAAAAAATCCTACAATGTGATTTTCTGGAGAAAAAAAATCTCAATTTGTCTGTCATAGTTGACGTGTACCTATGATGAACATTACAGGCCTCATCTTTTTAAGTGGGAGAACTTGCACAATTGGTGGCTGACTAAATAATTCCCCCCCCCCACTGTATATCAACGAATTGGCGAGGGCACTAGAACAGTCTGCAGCACCTGGCCTCACCCTACTAGAATCTGAAGTAAAATGTCTACCGTTTGCTGATGATCTGGTGCTTCTGTCACCAACCAAGGAGGGCCTACAGCAGCACCTAGATCTTATGCACAGATTCTGTCAGACCTGGGCCCTGACAGTAAATCTCAGTAAGACAAAAATAATGGTGTTCCAAAAAAGGTCCAGTTGCCAGGACCACAAATACAAATTCCATCTAGACACCGTTGCCTTCGAGCACACAAAAAACGATACATACCTCGGCCTAAACATCAGCGCCACAGGAAACTCTGAACGATCTGAGAGACAAGGCAAGAAGGGCCTTCTATGCCGTCAAAAGGAACATAAAATTTGACATACCAATTAGGATCTGGCTAAAAATACTTCAATCAGTTATAGAACCCATTGCCCTTTATGGTTGTGAGGTCTGAGGTCCACTCACAAACCAAGAATTCACAAAATGGGACAAACACCAAATTGAGACTCCGCATGCAGAATTAGGCTAAAATATATTCAGTGTACAAAGTAAAACACCAAATAATGCATGCAGAGCAGAATTAGGCCGATACCCGCTAATGATGAAAATCCAGAAAAGAGCCGTTAAATTCTACAACCACCTAAAAGGAAGCGATTCCCAAATCTTCCATAACAAAGCCATCACCTACAGAGAGATTAACCTGGAGAAGAGTCCCCTAAGCAAGCTGGTTCTGGGGCTCTGTTCACAAACACAAACAGACCCCACAGACACCCAGGACACCAACACAATTAGACTCAACCAAATCATGAGGAAAAAAAAAAGATAATTACTTGGCTCAACAAAGAATTAACAAAAAAAACTGCGCAAACTAGAATGCTATTTGGCCCTAAACAGAGAGTACACAGTGGCAGAATACCTGACCACTGTGACTGACCCAAAACTAAGGAAATATTTTACTATGTACAGACTCAGTGAGAATAGCCTTGCTATTGTGGTCCTCTGTAGCTCAGCTGGTAGAGCACGGCGCTTGTAACGCCAAGGTAGTGGGTTCGATCCCCGGGACCACCCATACACAAAAATGTATGCACGCATGACTGTAAGTCGCTTTGGATAAAAGCGTCTGCTAAATGGCATATTATTATTATTATTATTATATTATTGAGAAAGGCCGCCGTAGGCAGACCTGGCTCTCAAGAGAAGACAGGCTATGTGCACACTGCCCACAAAATGAGGTGGAATCTGAGCTGCACTTCCTAACCTCCTGCCAAATGTATGACCATATTAGAGACACATATTTCCCTCAGATTACAGCGATCCACAAAGAATTCGAAAACAAACCCAATTTTGATAAACTCCCATATCTACTGGGTGAAATACCACAGTGTGCCATCACAGCAGCAAGATTTGTGACCTGTTGCCACAAGAAAAGGGCAACCAGTGAAGAACAAACACCATTGTAAATACAACCCATATTTATGTTTATTTATTTTCCCATTTGTACTTTAACTATTTGCACATTGTTACAACACTGTATATAGACATAATATGACATTTGAAATGTCTTTATTCTTTTGGAACTTCTGAGTGTAATGTTTACTGTTAATATTTATTGTTTATTTCACTTTTGTTTATGATCTACTTCACTTGCTTTGGCAATGTTAACACACGTCTTAAACTGAAATTGAATTGAGTGAGAGATATTTTGGCTTCACCTAAATTAAAGCACTTTAAACCCAAGAGCTGAGCCCAGAACGAACCTCTCAGTCAGCTGGTGTTGGACCTAACCAACCAAGCTGACACCAGCACTGCTTCAAAATAAATAATGAAAATAAAACAAAATCATGAAGCAATCAATCAAAGGACTCATATTTACAACAGATCCTTACCAAGTACAGGCTGAGTGACCACCAACTCTCTACTCTGTCAGAGATCCGAAGCAGAGACAGATCCTTACCAAGTACAGGCTGAGTGACCACCAACTCTCTACTCTGTCAGAGATCCGAAGCAGAGACAGATCCTTACCAAGTACAGGCTGATTGAACCACCAATTGGCAATGAAACCAGCAGACATAAAAAGACATGGCTACCCAAAGAGGAGCGTATATGTGGTCACTGCACGACAGGGGAGGTAGAAACAGAGATGCACTTTCTCCTTTACTGTGATAAATATTCCTCACAAAGAGATGAATTATTCACAGAAATTACTACATTTATTTGAAATCTTATCTTATTAAACCCAGAGGAAAAACACAAAAAACAGTAATGGGCGAAGGAGTAATGGCTCCTCTTGCAGCCAAATATGGATTTGCCTGCCATAGCCTGAGGGACACTGAATAATAACATCTGCATAGTAAACAGTAACTTACTTATTATTAATATTATTGTTATTATTATTGTGACTATTATTCCAAATAGTAGTGGTATCACTGATGCAGACCTTTGGAACATCTACATTTTATAAAGTCTAATAAATCCATGTAATATAGCCTACACCTTCACAATAAATCCATTATTTATTTTAGACAGGTCTATAGAAGCATGATATGAAGAATATGTAGTATATTTTAGAAAAACAGAATAGCGTACTCTGAGTTGTCCTTATGTTAGGTCCTGATCTATGCCATATGGCTGTGGGCTACACTAGTTCATTTAGCAGACAAGACTTGCTTAGAATTCCATGGCATTATTTGATATTATTTTATAGTATGAAGAATAGAATTGAACAAAGTTGAATAAAATAGAAAGGATATTTTCTCCAAACGATTTGAGGAAGTGAGCACATGCGGCTATTCTGTGTTGAGCGGTTAACAAAGAAACAGGTCCTCCTATATGCTACATTTAGAGTTATTAATGTAACTTTAGTTGTTCTACAAACGTTGGGTTATATGTTTAGATTTTTAATACATTCTATGGCTGCATGATGTCGTACCCTCTTCGATGTCTTCTGAGACGTCCATGCGTGACAGGTGAGCCAACACCAGCACCCGGGCCTTAAGACTGTATGGGTAGCAGAATGGAGGTTCCTTCTTCTTCACGTTGATGTTCCCCAACTCACGGATCAGCTAGAGAGAGACAGGGAGAGGTTTAACAGACAGACAGACAGAGACACACAGAGACACATACACACACATTTACATTTACATTTTAGTCATTTAGCAGACGCTCTTATCCAGAGCGACTTACAGGAGCAATTAGGGTAAAGTGCCTTGCTCAAGGGCACATCGACAGATTTTTCACCTAGTCGGCTTGGGGATTAGAACCAGCGACCTTTCGGTTACTGGCACAACCATCTTAACCACTAAGCTACCTGCCGCCCCACACACAGACCGAGAGACACAGAGACCGACACGCAGACAGACCGATACGCAGACAGACAGACCGGCACGCAGACAGACAGACCGACCGGCACGCAGACAGACAGACAGACCGACCGACACGCAGACAGACCGATACGCAGACAGACAGACCGGCACGCAGACAGACAGACAGACCGGCACGCAGACAGACAGACAGACCGGCACGCAGACAGACAGACCGACCGACCGGCACGCAGACAGACAGACAGACCGACCGGCACGCAGACAGACAGACAGACCGACCGGCACGCACGCAGACAGACCGACCGGCACGCAGACAGACAGACAGACAGACAGACAGACAGACAGACAGACAGACACGCAGACAGACAGACAGACCGACAGACACGCAGACAGACCGACAGACCGACAGACACGCAGACAGACAGACCGACACGCAGACAGACAGAGACACGCAGACAGACAGACACGCAGACAGACACGCAGACAGACAGACCGACACGCAGACAGACAGACCGACACGCAGACAGACAGACCGACACGCAGACAGACAGACCGACACGCAGACAGACAGACCGACACGCAGACAGACAGACCGACACGCAGACAGACCGACACGCAGACACGCAGACAGACAGAGTAAATCAGTATGTTACCTGTGGTACTTGGATGTTGTCTGTGGGTCGTATGGTGGCCTCTTTGTTGCTGCGGGGGTCAAACTCGAACGCAGCCGTCAACACCATGGATAAACCTACACACCAAGCGTGAAAAATGCTAATATTAGTACCATTGACTTGAATTGGATTTGTACCACAAATGCTAGAAAGTTAGCATTTGGAAACAGTGGCCAGGTAAACTAAGCCAAAGCGTGGATTTCTGTCATGCCTGGTCCATAGATTGATTACAAGGTAAACTACCCCTTTAAACTGTGGTCAGGTTAGGTAACTCACGTTTCATGTTCATGTTGGGCGTCTTGTACATGAAGTGCATGAAGAGTTGTGTTGTGTTGATGAGTATCTGGTCCCCACTGTAACGGATCGACCGATACCACCACGTACCCTGAGGGGGAGAAGAGAGAGTTGAAGAAAGATTGAGAGAACTAGAGATTAGAGCAGACACTAGGGTTGGGAGGTATCCAGACATTCATACCGTTTCTGTACCATTGGTTAGTTGTTGGGAGGTATCCAGACATTCATACCGTTTCTGTACCATTGGTTAGTTGTTGGGAGGTATTCAGACATTCATACCGTTTCTGTACCATTGGTTAGTTGTTGGGAGGTATCCAGACATTCATACCGTTTCTGTACCATTGGTTAGTTGTTGGGAGGTATCCAGACATTCATACCGTTTCTGTACCATTGGTTAGTTGTTGGGCGGTATCCAGATTTTCATACCGTCATTCCGTTTCCGTAATATAATAATAATAATAATAATGACTTCTTTTTTGGGAGACGCATAAAACAATTTAGGCAGCAGGGATCTTGATCCAGGAGGGGGTTGAATGTCTCTGCTGTAACCAAGTAGCTTGATCTCGACATCTAGCCACTTAGCTAGCAAGTTAGCAACCCCAATGCATAGCTGGAGCCCTGAGCTGGAGCCCTGAGCTGGAGCCCTGAGCTGGAGATCATTTATTTGACACATCTTAGATTTCTTACAGTTATAAGCAGTGGCGTAGAATGCACCCCCCACGAGGTGGTATCGAAAATCATACCATCAGTATTTAGAAATACACCAATAAACGGTATATTGCCCAAGCCACACACACAGAGATACAGAGCTACTTTGGTAACAGAGGACTCTTACCACAACAACGGGCAGGATGACCATGAAGGCTAGACCATAGACCAGCAATACCTAGAGAGAGAGAGAGAGATCTGTTAACACGGTAATGTAGAAAACAACAGGTGGATAAAACATAACAGTAAAAAAGAAACATACCAGCATGGAGTTCTTGGAGTCTACGATCCACGCAGGCAGAGCGATGCCAAAACTAGTGGCTGGAGAAGAGGAAAGAGGAGGAGGAAGAGGAAGGAGACGGAGAAAAAGGAGGAGACATGAAATGTAGATATTTTTTTTTTTTTATGGAATGGAACTAGACCAGGGGTTTCAAACTAATTTTGTCCCGGGGGCCGCAGTCGGTCTTCACCGAGGTCCCGGGGGCCACAGTCGGTCTTCACCGAGGTCCCGGGGGCCACAGTCGGTCTTCACCGAGGTCCCGGGGGCCACAGACGGTCTTCACCGAGGTCCCGGGGGCCACAGACGGTCTTCACCGAGGTCCCGGGGGCCACAGTCGGTCTTCACCGAGGTCCACAGTCGGTCTTCACCGAGGTCTCGGGGGCCACAGTCGGTCTTCACCGAGGTCTCGGGGGCCACAGTCGGTCTTCACCGAGGTCCCGGGGGCCACAGACGGTCTTCACCGAGGTCCCGGGGGCCACAGTCGGTCTTCACCGAGGTCCACAGTCGGTCTTCACCGAGGTCTCGGGGGCCACAGTCGGTCTTCACCGAGGTCTCGGGGGCCACAGTCGGTCTTCACCGAGGTCTCGGGGGCCACAGTCGGTCTTCAACGAGGTCCCGGGGGCCACAGACGGTCTTCACCGAGGTCCCGGGGGCCACAGTCGGTCTTCACCGAGGTCCACAGTCGGTCTTCACCGAGGTCTCGGGGGCCACAGTCGGTCTTCACCGAGGTCTCGGGGGCCACAGTCGGTCTTCACCGAGGTCCCGGGGGCCACAGACGGTCTTCACCGAGGTCCCGGGGGCCACAGTCGGTCTTCACCGAGGTCCACAGTCGGTCTTCACCGAGGTCTCGGGGGCCACAGTCGGTCTTCACCGAGGTCTCGGGGGCCACAGTCGGTCTTCACCGAGGTCTCGGGGGCCACAGTCGGTCTTCAACGAGGTCCCGGGGGCCACAGTCGGAGGGTCGCATTGAAAATGGATTATATTTCCTCTCCGTCAAAATTAGCAAAACATTTTCCTCTATCCATCGCTTTAGGAACTGTTGATGCTCCCTGACTGTCTAGCTTTCACTTTGATGACTGTTATCAAGCTGGACAGAGTGAAGAGACTATAAATGACTGTTATCAAGCTGGACAGAGTGAAGAGACTATAAATGACTGTTATCAAGCTGGACACAGTGAAGAGACTATAAATGACTGTTATCAAGCTGGACACAGTGAAGAGACTATAAATGACTGTTATCAAGCTGGACACAGTGAAGAGACTATAAATGACTGTTATCAAGCTGGACAGAGTGAAGAGACTATAAATGACTGTTATCAAGCTGGACAGAGTGAAGAGACTATAAATGACTGTTATCAAGCTGGACAGAGTGAAGAGACTATAAATGACTGTTATCAAGCTGGACACAGTGAAGAGACTATAAATGACTGTTATCAAGCTGGACACAGTGAAGAGACTATAAATGACTGTTATCAAGCTGGACAGAGTGAAGAGACTATAAATGACTGTTATCAAGCTGGACACAGTGAAGAGACTATAAATGACTGTTATCAAGCTGGACAGAGTGAAGAGACTATAAATGACTGTTATCAAGCTGGACACAGTGAAGAGACTATAAATGACTGTTATCAAGCTGGACAGAGTGAAGAGACTATAAATGACTGTTATCAAGCTGGACACAGTGAAGAGACTGTAAATGTAGGTCCATTATCATTTCTACACAGTTTTGGTAAAAAAAACATTTATATTACTCAAACCACCCGTGGGCCTAAATTAGAGTCAAGAGGGGCGTGACGCTGCCCGTCTCCTCTTCTGAGGTGGACTCTTGTCCACTGATCTAAAAGCATTGGATTGGTGGAGCATTTTGTTAATACTCATTTGCTTTCAAATCAGTGAAGGGAAGTGAACCCTTTGGGAGGAAGGAGAGACACTTGGGACGTAGCATCAATGAAAGTATTAAAACATTGAGAGGTTGAACCCGGGAGGCTGACTAGACGTACCTCTTGGACCATCTGGGTTGCCGTAGGTCTCCCAGTTCTGTCTTGACTCGTCATTGGTCAGCCTGGGGAAAGGGGCGGGAAGAGAGGAAGAAAATTGAAGCAAACATTGTGTGTTTCTCAAAATGCATACTAGCGTGCTCCGAGCACATTGGAGCACGGGAGGGTCAGAGTACGAGTCCAAATCAAAGTATGCGGAACGGAGCACGGAGGGCACTTCTTCGAACGCATACTCCGTTTGTACATATGTTGCCTGACTACAATTTAGTATATATCTGGATATGTTAATAAATACATGCTGTGTTACTTTTGGCATGTTTACCTGCCTACAGACCATAGATCGCAAACCCATAACAAGTCAATAGGGCTAACTGGCTAGCTGCTAGTACTGTTAGCTACCCACGACAAATGTACATCTACCTTGAATAACATTAGTTTTAGATCATTTTTGCCTGTTTAACTAGCTGGCTAGCTAGATTATTACGATTCACATATAGCTAGCTGATAATTATGAAGAAAAACGTTTGCTTTGTGTACATCTTGTTTTGTCTCTATTGTTGCCGTTGTCCCGGCTGGAAGACGGTTCAGTGAACGGGGAGATGCGGCGTGAGGTCATACAGTAGCGGGGAGTGCTGTATTGTTTTACGCATCCTCCACACTCTCGTCCTCACAACAACTTCCTCAAGAGAACGTGGTGGGAGAATGAGAGTGTAGTGCGCATATTGAGAAACACCCATTGATTCATATAAAACACTGCTTTAGGGGAGGGCAGGGGGTGAGCTAGCAAAGGATAGAGAGAAGCAAGAGATAGACTGAGAGAGAGGAGAGAGAGAGAGAGGAGAGAGAGAGAGAGAAGGAGAGAAGAGAGCAGAGAGGAAGAGATAGAGAGAGAGAGCGGAGCGCGATGATCGAGATGATCGCGAGCGAGATAGATACTGCTACGATTCGATCATAGATCCTCTACTCTATCTCCGATTCTCTATCACGATCTCTCTCTCTCTGTCTCTCTCTCTCTCTCTGACAGACTTACGCGGAGTAGTGCTGTGGCGATCCTCATGAACAGGTCTTCATCTCCTCCTTTATCAGGATGGAACTTCAGCGACAGCAGCGGTCCCTCTTTTTAAATCTCTGATACAGATGTTTCCCTACACAACAAAGAGTTTAACAACTGGTTCAATCCCCAATAGGGTTTACCGGGTCGGGGGTTGTGTGTGTGGTGGTGTGGGGTAAAAACACAATTATAACACAAAAGTTAATAGGAACTTCAAAGAAAGATGCTTCAAGAAAAGTACTGAGGTAAAGGGTCTGAAGAAGTATGTAAAATCGAGAATATAGATATTAAACGCAGCTCTGTCGTATAGATAAGAGAGAGAGAAAAAAATAAAAAAAAAAAACCCACCCCCCCCTCTCTCTCTCGCTCTTCTTCTCCTCTCTCTCTCCCTCCTCTCTGTCTCTCTCCCTCTCTCTCTCCCCCCCCCCCCCCTCAGTCACTCGCTCTCTCCCCCCTCTCTGTCGGTCTCTCTCTCTAATCTGGGTTTGGCGGATGCCAGGAGAACGCTACTTGCCCCAATGCATAGTGCCCACTGTAAAGTCTTGTGGAGGAGGAATAATGGTCTGGGACTGTTGTTCATAGTTCGGGCTAGGCCCCTTAGTTCCAGTGAAGGGAAATCTTAACGCTACAGCATACAATGACATTCTAGACGATTCTGTGCTTCCAACTTTGTGGCAACAGTTTGGGGAAGGCCCTTTCCTGTTTCAGCATGTCAATGCCACCGTGCACAAAGTGAGGTCCATACAGAAATGGCTTGTCGAGATCGGTGTGGAAGAACTTGACTGGCATGCACAGAGCCCTGACCTCAACCCCATCGAACACCTTTGGGATGGATTGGAACGCCGACTGCGAGCCAGGCCTAATCGCCCAACATCAGTGCCCGACCTCACTAATGCTCTTGTGGCTGAATGGAAGCAAGTCCCAACTGCAATGTTCCAACATCTAGTGGAAAGGCTTCCCAGAAGAGTGGAGGCTGTTATAACAGCAAAGGGGGGACCAACTCCATATTAATGCCCATTTTGGAATGAGATGTTCGACGAGCAGGTGTCCACATACCTTTGGTGATGTAGTGTGTGTGTAGTGTGTGTAGTGTGTGTGTGTAGTGTGTGTGTGTAGTGTGTAGTGTGTGCAGTGTGTGTAGTGTGTGTAGTGTGTGTGTAGGTGTGTGTAGTGTGTGTGTAGTGTGTGCAGTGTGTGTGTGTAGGTGTGTGTAGTGTGTGTGTAGGTGTGTGTAGTGTGTGTAGTGTGTAGTGTGTGTGTAGTGTGTGTGTAGTGTGTGTAGTGTGTGTGTAGTGTGTGTAGTGTGTAGTGTGTGTGTAGTGTGTGTGTGTAGTGTGTGGTGTAGTGTGTGTGTAGTGTAGTGTGTGTGTAGTATGTGTAGTGTGTGTTACCTGGTCCAGACTGAGGACTTCATAAGGGTTATACTCCTGATACTCTCTGTCCAGCTTGGAAACTTTGTAGGCCAGCAGCAGAAACACAGCCCAGCCAAACAACAGGGCTGCTTTCCTACACACACACAGAGACACACACACACAGAGACACACACACACACACAGAGACACAGAGACACACACACACACACAGAGACACACACACACAGACACCACACACACAGAGACACAGAGACACACACACACAGAGACACACACACACACAGAGACACACACACAGACACCACACACACAGAGACACAGAGACACACACAGAGACACCACACACACAGAGACACAGAGACACACACACACAGAGACACACACACAGAGACACACACAGAGACACACACACACACACACAGAGACACACACACACACAGAGACACACACACACAGAGACACACACACACAGAGACACACTCACACACAGAGACACACTCACACACAGAGACACACTCACACACAGAGACACACACAGAGACACACACACACACACAGAGACACACACACACACAGAGACACACACACACACACAGAGACACACACACACACACACAGAGAGTCACACACACACACACCACACAGAGAGAGAGACACACACAGAGAGACACACACACAGAGAGACACACACACACACACAGATAGACACACACACACAGATAGACACACACACACAGATAGACACACACACACAGATAGACACACACACACACACACACAGAGAGAGAGAGAGAGACACACACACACACACACACACACACAGAGAGAGAGACACACACATAGAGAGAGAGAGAGAGACACACACACTTCTGGTGAGTTCTTTGCTTGAACTGGGGTAGGTAGCCTGAAAACAATTACCAGAAACTGCAGTCTGATGCAGTTAACCTACTAATCTTAGCAATGATCTAGGATTCATTATAGACAGTCACTTCTCCTCCTCTTGAAAATAACTAGCTCGCTAACTAGCTACCTAGCCCTGCTAACTCAGGCTAGCCTAATGGCTTGGCTTGACTGGACCGGGTCCAACCAGCAACCAAATACCAACACTGGTGGGGTACGCGTTTTTGTAGATTTTTGGGGGAGAACACTGTTTGCATTCTTCAATAGCTAGCTTTTTATCTGACTAGCAGTTTCAGAGCTTGGAGAACTGTCTGCCTCAGCTGCTCTGCTGATAAACCTTAACCTGCCTCGTGGGGAAGCTGATAAACCTTAACCTGCCTCGTGGGGAACCTGATAAACCTTACCCTGCCTCGTGGGGAAGCTGATAAACCTTACCCTGCCTCGTGGGGAAGCTGATAAACCTTACCCTGCCTCGTGGGGAAGCTGATAAACCTTACCCTGCATCGTTGGGGAACATGATAAACCTTACCCTTGCCTCGTGGGGAACCTGATAAAACCTTACCCTGCCTCGTGGGGAACCTGATAAACCTTACCCTGCCTCGTGCGGACGCGGATAAAACCTTACCCTGCTCGTGGGAGAGAAGCTGATAAACCTTACCCTGCCTCGTGCGGACGCGGGGATAAACCTTACCCTGCCTCGTGGGAGCTGATAAACCTTACCCTGCCTCGTGGGGAAGCTGATAAACCTTACCCTGCCTCGTGGGGAAGCTGATAAACCTTACCCTGCCTCGTGGGGAAGCTGATAAACCTTACCCTGCCTCGTGGGGAAGCTGATAAACCTTACCCTGCCTCGTGGGAAGCTGATAAACCTTACCCTGCCTCGTCGGGAGTGATAACCTTAACCCTGCCTCGTGGGGAAGCTGATAAACCTTACCCTGGCCTCGTGGGGGAAGCTGATAAACCTTACCCTGCCTCGTGGGGAACGCTGATAAACCTTACCCTGCCTCGTGGGGAAGCTGATAAACCTTACCCTGCCTCGTGGGGAAGCTGATAAACCTTACCCTGCCTCGTGCGGAAGCTGATAAACCTTACCCTGCCTCGTGCGGAAGCTGATAAACCCTTACCCTGCCTCGTGGGGAAGCTGATAAACCTGACCCTGCCTCGTGGGGAAGCTGATAAACCTTACCCTGCCTCGTGGGGAAGCTGATAAACCTGACCCTGCCTTGTGGGGAAGCTGATAAACCTTACCCTGCCTCGTGCGGAAGCTGCATACGAACCACAATCACTGACATATGAAATACGACTGACTGTTATCACTATTTTCTTCTTCGCGTTAAATTAGGAAGTGACGTGCAGTCATATTCAAGTCCTGATTGGTCCAGATTACGAAAGGGGTACTGCCCCAAACGGCGCTCTATAATTTCACGCCAAGGTAACTTGTCATCCATTTTGATTGCGGCACAAATGAAAAATGTGGCATTGACTCACCCATGGATTGATGTTTCAGCGTTGTCTCAATAAAGAGTTCGGCGTTCGACTAGCCATGTTCGACAAGTTACAAGCCAAGCAGTAAGTGGTAGCTTACTACCTCGGTAGTAGATATAGCCTGCCCTGGAACGATGAAGCTAACTGAAGCTGGCTAGCTTTAGAAAAGCCTGAGTAGATCTAACTTGCATCGTAGCATTCTCCTTAGGATCACCAAGTTAGCCAGATAACTTTGTTAAACAGACAGAAAAAAAAAAAAAAGTTTCTGGTTATTAATGGAAGTGACTCACTTTAGTGTGGGTATGATGCTCTGCTGTGACTTCGTCAAGCGGAGCCGGTACCACAGACACCGTCCGTGGACCCTCCGCAGGCTCTTCAGACGCAGCTGCTCTGGGGGTCACAGACACACACAGACGTTAGACAGGGCGTCACAGACACACACAGACGTTAGACAGGGGGTCACAGACACACACAGACGTTAGACAGGGCGTCACAGACACACACAGACGTTAGACAGGAAGTCACAGACACACACAGACGTTAGACAGGGCGTCACAGACACACACAGACGTTAGACAGGGCGTCACAGACACACACAGACGTTAGACAGGGCGTCACAGACACACACAGACGTTAGACAGGGCGTCACAGACACACACAGACGTTAGACAGGGCGTCACAGACACACACAGACGTTAGACAGGGCGTCACAGACACACACAGACGTTAGACAGGGCGTCACAGACACACACACACACAGACGTTAGACAGGGCGTCACAGACACACACAGACGTTAGACAGGGCGTCACAGACACACAGACGTTAGACAGGGCGTCACAGACACACACAGACGTTAGACAGGGCGTCACAGACACACACAGACGTTAGACAGGAAGTCACAGACACACACAGACGTTAGACAGGGCGTCACAGACAGACGTTAGACAGGGCGTCACAGACACAGACACACACAGACGTTAGACAGGGCGTCACAGACACACACAGACGTTAGACAGGGCGTCACAGACACACACAGACGTTAGACAGGGCGTCACAGACACACACAGACGTTAGACAGGGCGTTAAAGACACACACAGACGTTAGACAGGGCGTCACAGACACACAGACACAGACGTTAGACAGGAAGTCACAGACACACACACAGACGTTAGACAGGGCGTCACAGACACAGACACACACAGACGTTAGACAGGGCGTCACAGACACACACAGACGTTAGACAGGGCGTCACAGACACACACAGACGTTAGACAGGGCGTCACAGACACACACAGACGTTAGACAGGGCGTCACAGACACACACAGACGTTAGACAGGGCGTCACAGACACACAGACGTTAGACAGGGCGTCACAGACACACACAGACGTTAGACAGGAAGTCACAGACAGACGTTAGACAGGGCGTCACAGACACAGACACACACAGACGTTAGACAGGGCGTCACAGACACACACAGACGTTAGACAGGGCGTCACAGACACACACAGACGTTAGACAGGGCGTCACAGACACACACAGACGTTAGACAGGGCGTTAAAGACACACACAGACGTTAGACAGGGCGTCACAGACACACAGACACAGACGTTAGACAGGGGGTCACAGACACACACACACACACAGACGTTAGACAGGGCATCACACACACACACAGACGTTAGACAGGGCGTCACAGACACACACAGACGTTAGACAGGGCATCACAGACACACACAGACGTTAGACAGGGCGTCACAGACACACACAGACGTTAGACAGGGCGTCACAGACACACACAGACGTTAGACAGGGCGTTAAAGACACACACAGACGTTAGACAGGGCGTCACAGACACACAGACACAGACGTTAGACAGGGGGTCACAGACACACACACACACACAGACGTTAGACAGGGCATCACAGACACACACAGACGTTAGACAGGGCGTCACAGACACACACAGACGTTAGACAGGGCGTCACAGACACACACAGACGTTAGACAGGGCGTTAAAGACACACACAGACGTTAGACAGGGCGTCACAGACACACAGACACAGACGTTAGACAGGGGGTCACAGACACACACACACACACAGACGTTAGACAGGGCATCACACACACACACAGACGTTAGACAGGAAGTCACAGACACACACAGACGTTAGACAGGAAGTCACAGACAGACACACAGACGTTAGACAGGGCGTCACAGACAGACACACAGACGTTAGACAGGGCGCCACACACACAGACGTTAGACAGGGCGTCACACACAGACGTTAGACAGGGCGTCACAGACACACACAGACGTTAGACAGGGCGTCACAGACAGACACACAGACGTTAGACAGGGCGCCACACACACAGACGTTAGACAGGGCGTCACACACAGACGTTAGACAGGGCGTCACAGACACACACAGACGTTAGACAGGGCGTCACACACAGATGTTAGACAGGGCGTCACAGACACACACAGACGTTAGACAGGAAGTCACACACACACACAGACGTTAGACAGGAAGTCACAGACACACACAGACGTTAGACAGGGCGTCACAGACACACAGACACACGTTAGACAGGGCGTCACACACACACACAGACGTTAGACAGGAAGTCACAGACACACACAGACGTTAGACAGGGCGTCACAGACACACACAGACGTTAGACAGGGCGTCACAGACACACACAGACGTTAGACAGGGCGTCACAGACACACAGACACACGTTAGACAGGGCGTCACAGACACACAGACACACGTTAGACAGGGCGTCACACACACACACAGACGTTAGACAGGAAGTCACAGACACACACAGACGTTAGACAGGGCGTCACAGACACACACAGACGTTAGACAGGAAGTCACAGACACACACAGACGTTAGACAGGGCGTCACAGACACACAGACACACGTTAGACAGGGCGTCACAGACATGTGGACGTGTTTAGAGTAAAATACAACCCCAGAGAGAGAAAGCTGACAACCCCAGAGAGAGAAAGCTGACAACCCCAGTGTCATCATAGCGCTTTCAAAGAACATTCAAAGTTCTTGAAATGTTTCGTATTGACTGACCTTCATGTCTTGAAGTAATGATGGACTGTCGTTTCTCTTTGCTTATTTGAGATGTTCTTGCCATAATATGGACTTGGTCTTTTACCAAATAGGGCTATCTTCTGTATAACACCCCTACCTTGTCACAACACAACTGATTGGCTCAAACGCATTAAGAAGGAAATAAATTCCACAAATTAACTTTTAAGAAGGCACACCTGTTAATTGAAATGCATTCCAGGTGACTACCTCATGAAGCTGGTTGAGAGAATGCCAAGAGTGTGTAAAGCTGTCATCAAGGCAAATGATTTTGATTTGATTCACACTTTTTTGGTTCCTACATGATTCCATATGTGTTATTTCATAGTTTTGATGTCTTCACTATTATTCTACAATGTAAAATAATTGTAAAAATAAAGAAAAACACTTGAATGAGTAGGTGTGTCCAAACTTTTGACTGATAGTGTATTTTATTGATTTATTATTATTTATGCTATATTATTTCAAGGCTACAAAGAAATACATTGTGAAACATTAGCGAGTGCTACACACTAGACTGGTAGGGACATAAAGGGCTCAGCATTTAAACAACATTGTTCTATTAAATCATTACAGACAATAAATTGCACATATACAATTGAAGTCGGAAGTTTACATACACTTAGGTTAGATTATTTGAAATCAGCTGTGTAGTGCTAGGGCAAAAAACAAAACGTTCACAGAGTTTGGGTAACCCTGAATCAACCCCTTTGTTATGGCAAGCCTATATACAGTTGAAGTCGGAAGTTTACATACACTTAGGTTGGAGTCAAACAAACTATAGTTTTGGCAAGTCGGTTAGGACATCTCCTTTGTGCGTGACAAAAGTAATTTTCCCAACAATTGTTTACAGACAGATTATTTCACTGTATCACAATTCCAGTGGGTCAGAAGTTTACATTCACTAAGTTGACTGTGCCTTTAAACAGCTTGGAAAATTCCAGAAAATGACTTCATGGCTTCAGAAGCTTCTGATAGGCTAATTGACATCATTTGTGTCAATTGGAGGTGTACCTGTGGATGTATTTCAAGGCCTACCTTCAAACTCAGTGCCTCTTTGCTTGACATCCTGGGAAAATCAAAATAAATCAGCCAAGACCTCAGAAAAAAATGTGTAGACCTCCACAAGTCTGGTTCATCCTTGGGAGCAATTTCCAAACGCCTGAAGGTACCACGTTCATCTGTACAAACAATAGTACGCAAGTATAAACACCATGGGACCACGCAGCCGTCATACCGCTCAGGAAGGAGATGCGTTCTGTCTCCTAGAGATGAACATAATTTGGTGCAAAAAGTGCAAATCAATCCCAGAACAACAGCAAAGGACCTTGTGAAGATGCTGGAGGAAACAGGTACAAAGGTATCTATATCCACAGTAAAACAAGTCCTATATCGACATAACCTGAAAGGCCGCTCAGCAAGGAAGAAGCCACTGCTCCAAAACCGCCATAAAAAAGCCAGACTACGGTTTGCAACTGCATATGGGGACAAAGATCGTACTTTTTGGAGAAATGTCCTCTGGTCTGATGAAACAACAATAGAACTGTTTGGCCATAATGACCATTTGCTTGGTCGCAAATGGGTCTTCCAAATGGACAAGGACCGCAAGCATACTTCCAAAGTTGTGGCAAAAAGGCTTAAGGACAACAAAGTAAAGGTATTGGAGTGGCCATCACAAAGCCCTGACCTCAATCCTATAGAAAATGTAAGGGGGCAGAACTGAAAAAGTGTGTGCGAGCAAGGAGGCCTACAAACCTGACTCAGTTACACCAGCTCTGTCAGGAGGAATGGGCCAAAATTCACCCAACTAATTGTGGGAAGCTTGTGGAAGGCTACCTGAAACATCTGACCGAAGTTAAACAATTTAAAGGCAATGCTACCAAATACTAATTGAGTGTATGTAAACTGCTGACCCACTGGGAATGTGATGAAAGAAATAAAAGCTGAAATAAATCATTCTCTCTACTATTATTCTGACATTTCACATTCTTAAAATAAAGTTGTGATCTAACTGACCTAAGACAGGGAATTTTTACTAAGATTAAATGTCAGGAATTGTGGAAAAACTAAGTTTAAATGTATTTGGCTAAGGTGTATGTAAACTTCCGACTTCAACTGTAGCAACATGGTCTAGGAAAAGTCACCAACTCAACAGTGTCTTAGAGTAATGACTGTGTGGTCCTCTGTAGCTCAATTTGTAGAGCACGGCGCTTGTAACGCCAAGGTAGTGGGTTCGATCCCCGGGACCACCCATACACAAATATGTATGCACGCATGACTGTAAGTCGTTTTGGATAGAAGCGTCTGCTAAATGGCATATTATTATTATTATCATCCCCACGGCCTCCACAATGGATCAGTCCACTCAGACAGGAGCCAATCAGACAGGTGTCTTGTACACCATGTTGTTGTTTTTTACACTAAAGAAATCTCGATCGACCAACAGCCTGTCGACCAGTCGACTAAATGGGGTCAGCCCTACACGCTTCTATACCAAATCCAACAATTTGGTTTCTTTTGGGAGCTTATCTACTGGACTATTTTGGCTGCCTTGCTGGGGTGCAGACATACATTTGTTAGTGGGTGGGCCTGCAGAGATTTGGATGGGCCAACATCCTTTGTAATAATAATAATACATTATTTGTTTTTGCTTTTGCTCAATCTGATTGGGTGGGCCTGGCAGGGCTTGGGTCTACCCAGCTCGCTGCTAGTAGTAGACTTTAACAATATGGGGATGTCTTCTTTGCACAAACATACAGGTCATCTAGCTAGGTGTACATGGAGTCTCAGTCTGTACGTTCCACTGGTATTTTCAATTCTGACATTAGGTGTAGCCATCGATTAACTAATATAAACTGATATGACTTCCATGTTGTCAAATGGATACAGGGGGGCTAAACTGCTTCCTGGGTAGCAGACTAAACTCCTTGGTGAAGGAAGTTCATAATGAACTTCACCAACCGCATGGAGCCGAGACCAGGCTTTGCTGAGCCTAGCTCCGATTACATCGCCCAAGGTCAATACTTAAAATGTTTACTATGAAACACCCACCTTGTACTTATGTTTGTCCCCTGCAGTTGCATGCCATTCTTTGTTAATGTTAATCAAATACCAACACAGACTGTTTGCTCATTGCTAAGATGGCAACTCAGCGCAAATGTGCATTGCCAATTGAATCTCAACAAGGAAACAGTTGGTGGTGGTAATTGATTACCGTTCATTGAAAAAGTATGGATATCAGCTAACAAAGAAAGGCAAGCAACTACAGAGAACAAACATAGGTCCAAGGTGGGCGTTTAATATATACATATCTTTTTTTTTTTTTTAAGTATTGACCTTTGGCGAATCGATGTAGTCAGAGATTCCACAAAGTCTGGTCTCGGCTCCACACCGTTGGTGAAATTCATCAGAAACTTCCTTCACGGTGGAGTTTAATCCGATACTTCCTGGGTAACGTTAGCATAACAGAGAGCTATTATATAGCTATACTACTAGGGTAAACATGTTTCTTTACCCCCCCCCTGTATGAATTCAACCTCACGGCCATATCAAAAACCTTCAAAAGGATTTACTTCTAGTTATCAACCAAGTGACTAAATACAAGTTAGGTAGCTAGCTACTACCACCCACCCCCTAAAGTTGGCTAACGTCACTAGCAGCATATGTAACGTACGTCGTATTTTACAAGACCACGTAAAAGTAACCGTTATCTAGCTAGCTAATGTTAGCTTGCTAGACGGACACTCGTTAGATAGCTAACTGACGCAGCTAGCTGGCTAGTAGGTCACCAACCAAACATTAAACTGAACGAGAGATGCTAGCTAGGTGTTCCTGGCACTGATATTATCAGACTTGTATGGTATCCAACTAAATTTAAAAAAAAAAAAATAAGTTAGGCAGTCATATTGGTTTAGCTAGCTTGTTAGCTAGCTGTTAGTTATATAAACACGAACGCAGAGAATTGGGCATGTCGCTTCATTGCACCCCTAGCAACGCAGAGTCGGTGCACGTAAACGCTAACTAACGTTAGTTAACTACTTGTTGTTCTGCTGTATTTCAGCCAGCCAGCTAGTTAACGTTAGGTAGTTACCTAACTACTACATGCAAATGTAGTTAGCTAGCAACAGAGTTGGCTGGCAAGGGAAACTCTCTAGCTAGTGGTGGTCAGTCTCGGAACTGGCTAATCAAATTTGTTAGTTAGTTAGCAGGCTAGCTAGCTAACTTCACCCATCACACACAGCATAGTAGTATACTTAGCTAACTAACCAACTTTAGCATGCTCGCCAGGTGATGCTAACTCGTCGTATACATCGGGGCCTTACCAGCATTCTGATCTCGGGGCCAGAGGTAATATGTGGCTGGGATGACGATGAGTCCAACGAAGGACGTTAGGAAGTAGAAAAATGTGTTGCCGCTGTCATCGTACTGAAATTGTTGCCCGGCCATTTCGTCGTGGCGCGTCTAGGGTCCCCCTTTTTCTCCACGGCTATGCCTCCCCAGTTAAGCCCAGTATGTATGACTTGACAAACACCACTGATCAGGCACCAGCTAGCATAGGGCCAAAACAGCGCGATGCTGCGAGAAAGCTGGGTACGTGGTTTACGCCTGCGCAGTGGGTTAGCCTCTGGTTCTGTTCTTCTTCTTCTTCTTCTTCTTCTTCTGTGGAACTTGTCCCTATTGTTATGCTTCCACCTAGTGGTTATTATTGGGTATTACTTCCAGCCTAGGACCTGTACTAGGTTAATGTCTAGATGGGATACAGATTTTGTCAAATTTGAAGTCAAAAATATATATTTTTTGTGCATTTTCCCTAACCCTAACCCTAACCCTTTTCCTAACCTTAACCTAATTCTCCTAACCTGCTATGTTAATTCTCCTAACCTGCTGCGTAAATTCTAAACCTGCTTACGAAAACTCCCTTTTGATAAAAGCTGTATACCTTCTAGACCAGGCTTGGGCAACTCCAGTCCTCGGGGGCCTGATTGGTGTCACACTTTTGCCCCATCCCTAGCAAACACAGCCACCGCTCTCTCTGTCCTACCCTCGCCTCCCTCCCTACGCCTCTCCTTGCCTCCTTTCCTACCTCCTCGCCTCCTCCTCCATCCTCTCCTCCCCTCCTCTCCTCGCCCCCTCCGTCCTCTCCTCGCCTCCTCTCCTACCTCCTCACCTCGCTGCACGACCCCAGATAAAGTCAGAGCATGCAGCGGTGTCGGTTCCTCTCACAACAAGACAATACGACTTTAACCTCAGCAACGCGGAGCAAACTCTCCTACATCCCGAAAGCATAAGCAATACGCCATCTAGACATCTCCCCCTTCTCCTCGCCTCAGCTCCTCCTCCTCTCCTCCTCCTCCCTCCTCACCCCCTCTCCCTCCCTCCTCTCTCCATCTCTCTCCTCCTCTCCTCCTCCTCCCCTCCTCCTCTCCTCCCTCCTCTCCTCGCCTCCTCTCTTCTGTCCTCTCCTTGCATCCTCTCCTCCATTCTCTCCTCACCACCTTCCTCTCCTCACCTCCTCTCCTTTGTCCTCTCCTCGTCCCCTCTCCTTTGCCTCTCCTCACCTCCTCTCCTCTCCTCACCTCCTCTCCTCCCTCCCCTCCTCGACTGCTTTTGAATAAGGTCAAAGGTAATTGAGGAGAGGTGGCAAGGAGAAGGAAAGTGGAAGGAAATGCTATTGCAAGAAATTAGACGTTTCTTCTCCACTCCACACAGACAAATGGCGTTGACAGAGGAGGAATCCCAAAATATGTGTAAAGCGATCAAAGAAAATGTCTTGAACAGTGCTTGACTTGGGAGGAGCTCACAGGAACAGAACCTTCACCTCAAATGTTCTACTGCTGAGTTCCTTAACCTCTTATAGAATATTAGCTAAAAAGTATTGTGGAGTTCCCCCACTGGGAAAACACTGGTTGAATCAACATTGTTTCCACATCATTTCAAATAAATGACGATGAACCAGCATGGAATAGATGTTGAATTAACGTCTGTGCCCAGTGTGCCTGCACCTAAATCTAAACAATATCGGCACTTAAAAGTGAATCCCTGGTTGTGAAGACATTTTATAAAGTATAAGTAGTGAATAGTTTTAAATGTTGAGAAAACAACATCTGATTCAAAGGGGATGTGTTTAATTCACTTCCGCACTAGCCGGCAAAAGGATACTCATTAGTATCCTCAGAGAGAGGAGTCAATGGAGGAGTGGAGGACACTTCTCCATTCACCTACTAATGAATTTACACTCTCCTTGACCACACGACCACTGATGAGTCAAGGAGATGACAGACTTTCTTCCCCCAATTGAGAATCTCCCAATGTCTTTACACTAGCAACCTGCATGCCCCGCCCACCTGAGGATCTGTCTTTTTCAGCAATCTATTTCCTGTGTTTGAGGGGTGCAAAATCCACTTGTCACTTAAATCTCGCTGGATTGATTGGTTTCATTTTCTTCCTGCGACTCTTTCATACTCTTGCTTGTGCCTGTCGTTTTTTCCCGTTGAAGGTGCAATATGTAGAAATCTCTCCGTGATTTCCTGGTTGCAAAAATTCGAATAGTTTGCCTAATTTCAGTTAATGTGACAAAACGAGCAATGTATAGTGTAGAGAATCATTTTACCATCTAAACCGCTGTGAAATGTATTTTCATTAACGAACAAAGATATTGTATTTTCAGCTGTTTGAAGCTGGTGTACAAAACCTAAAGTAAAAGACGCACAAACGAATCTTAAGAACGGGAAGCATAGAAATAACGCACATAGAACAGATCTACCGCTTTTTAGACTTGCTCTCAATGAGAATGACAGATCTATAACTGACATTTTTATGTGATTTTGGTCAGGTCGCCCAAAAAGTGACATATTGCAGCTTGATCCTCTGTAGCTCAGCTGGTAGAGCACGGCGCTTGTAACGCCAGGGTAGTGGGTTAGATCCCCGGGGCCACCCATACACAAATATGTATGCACGCATGACTGTAAGTCGCTTTGGATAAAAGCGTCTGCTAAATGGCATATTATTATTATTATTATTAAAGTTAAGACCGTGGACATGTTTGTAATGACCTGGAAATGTGCTCAATTGAATTTATTTATGTTGCATCTGTAAGAACGCTAAAACTTCGTCTGGGATTTAACCCGTCGTCTCGACACTTACATCACAAGAAAGAGAAGAAAAATACCGTTATTCAATTTTTTTTGTGGAATTAAAAAAAGTAATCATTTAATACAGTTGAAATGTTTACAAATTACATGTGCTGAAATAAAAGGATCTTCTGAAAATGACCACTGAGATTATAGTGATATGTCTCATCTAAATGTTGTAAAGTCTAGAGGTGTAATCTAGAGGTGTAATCTAGAGGTGTAATCTAGAGGTGTAATCTAGAGCCAAGCCGGTTCATTTTTAATCTGAGGGTGTCCAGGGCTGTGTTCAGTACATTTTTATGTTCTGGAACGTTCAATTGAACTAAAAAAAGGTGCTGTACTGAACGACCAAACGACCAGTTGAAAAACGGGGAGGGGTTTTGTTGTGGTTTGGGGAACTGCTGTCAGCATGGCCACTGCTCTTTAAATACGTCACTCATTGCTTCAAGCCACACCTCACCACACCCACCAAACAGGAGCAAACATACCTCAAAGTCTGTTCAAGAACATACAAGAACGTTTTGGAGAAATGTGTCATTCAGTACAAACCGTTCCGCAACGTAGCAAATGTTCAAGTGAACTCTGCTGTTGACATACATGTTGAATTAGAAAGTGTCAACAGTAATTACTGAGGCAGTCTAGCCAGCACAGGTGAGTTCAGGTAGGGTAGACAGAGCACGTGTTTGGTGGGTGCAGCCCTGTTCCACCCCTGTATGTTAATTTATTAATATATGCAAACACACCCCATGTTTCTTTGATGACTGTTGCTACTTTACAAATCAGATGACTGGGAGGAGCCGAGGAGAGAAGGCACCCATACATCTATGATGTCACTCGGTCGGGCCCTTAATGATGATGTCACAGGTGCACCATGATGTCGTTGAGCGGCTTGCGGGTGAGGTCGGGCACGGTGGCGTCGGGGGCGGGGTAACCAACAGGAAGTAGCATCAGCAGCTTCTCATTGGCCGGCCGACGGAGGAGCAGCCTGAGCTGGGGGCCGCAGTTGAGGGGTGTCGTCGTCACCGTCACCAGACCTGCATTCTGACAGGGGATTGGACAGACTGCGTGTCAGTCAAACACAAGGAGAGACAAGGGTTTGGTCAGAATATCAAACACATACAGAATCCAGAGGTTTATTCAGGGGCTTGAAATGCTCTGATGGTTGCAGATAGAAATGAATGAATGGAGCTGACATGATATCATTTATGTTCTACACGATACATTTCTACTGTAATTGTAACATCCTTCTGAACAGGGGTGCTGTCTGACATTGTATTTAAAATAAAATAAAATAAAATATTTAGCGGATGTTATTGCAGGGGTGTAGCGAAATGCTTGTGTTCCCAGCTCCGGCAGTGCAGTAATATCTAACAATACACACCAAAAACACACAAATCTAATAGTAAAATAATGGAATTAAGAAATATATAAACATTAGGACGAGCAATGTCGGAGTGGTATTGACTGTCGTAGCCTTATTCTAAAATGGATACATTTAAAATAAAATCCTCAGCAATCTACACACATTACCCCATAATGATGAAGCAAAAACAGGTTTTTAGAAATGTTTGCACATCAAAAATAAAAATAAACAGAAAAAACAGAAAAACCTTATTTACATAAGTATTCAGACCCTTTGCTATGAGACTCGAAATTGAGCTCAGGTGCATCCTGTTTCCACTGATCATCCTTGAGATGTTTCTACAACTTGATTGGAGTCCATCTGTGGTACATTCAATTGAATGGACATGATTTGGAAAGGCGGGCGCAAAAACCAAGTCATGAGGTCAAAGGAATTGTCCGTAGAGCTCCGAGAGAGGATTGTGTCGAGGCAAAGATCTGGGGAAGGGTACCAAAAAATGTCTGCAGCATTGAAGGTCCCCAAGAACACAGTGGCCTCCATCATTCTTAAATGGAAGAAGTTTGGAACCACCAAGACACTTCCTAGAGCTGGCCGCCCGGCCAAACTGAGCAATCGGGGGAGAAGGGCCTTGGTCAGGGAGGTGACCAAGAAAACAATGGTCACTCTGCAGCACTCCACCAATCAGACCTTTATGGTAGAGTGGCCAGATGGAAGCCACTCCTAACCGGGTGGTAGCCGGCTAGTGGTGGCTATTTAACAGTCTGATGGCCTTGAGATGGAAGCTGTTTTTCAGTCTCTTGGTCCCAGCTTTGATGCACCTGTACTGACCTCGCCTTCTGGATGACAGCGGGGTGAACAGGCAGTGGCTCGGGTGGTTGATGTCCTTGATTATCTTTTTGGCCATCCTGTGACATAGGGTGCTGTAGGTGTCCTGGAGGGCGGGTAGTTTGCCCCCGGTAATGCGTTCGGCAGACCGCACCACCCTGGCTTTCCACCTTGCCGTTGATGTGGATGGGGGCGTGCTCTCACTGCTGTCTCCTGAAGTCCACGATCAGCTCCTTCGTTTTGTTGACATTGAGGAAAAGGGTTATTTTTCTGGCACCACTCCATGGCCCTAACCTCCTACCTGTAGGCTGTCTCGTCATCGTTGGTAATCAGGCCTACTACTGTTGTGTCGTCTGCAAACTTGATGATTGAGTTGGAGGCGTGCTTGGCCATGCAGTCATGGGTGAACAGGGAGTACAGGAGGGGGCTGAGCACGCACCCTTGTGGGGCCCCAGTGTTGAGGATCAGCGAAGTGGAGATGTTGTTTCCTACGTTCACCACCTGGGGGCGGCCCATCAGGAAGTCCAGGACCCAGTTGCACAGGGCGTGGTTCAGACCCAGGGCCCCGAGCTTAATGATGAGCTTGGAGGGTATTATGGTGTTGAAGGCTGAGCTGTAGTCAATGAACAGCATTCTTCCATAGGTATTCCTCTTGTCCAGATGGGATAGGGCAGTGTGCAGTGTGATGGCGATTGCATTGTCTGTGGATCTATTGGTGCAGTAAGCAAATTGAAGTGGGTCTATGGTGTCAGGTAAGGTAGAGGTGATATGATCCTTAACTAGCCTCTCAAAGCACTTCATGATGACAGTGAGTGCTACAGGGCGATAGTCATTTATTTCAGTTACCTTTACTTTCTTGGGTACAGGAACAATGGTGGACATCTTAAAGCAAGTGGGGACAGCAGACTGGGATAGGGAGAGATTGAATATGTCCGTAAACACACCAGCCAGCTGGTCTGCACATGCTCTGAGGACACGGTTAGGGATGCCGTCTGGGCCGACAGCCTTGCGAGGGTTAACACGCTTAAATGTCTTACTCACGTCGGCCTCCGAGAACGGGAGCCCACAGTCCTTGGGAGCCGCTCGCGTCAGTGGCACTGTGTTATCCTCAAAGTGGGAGAAGAAGGTTTTTAGCTTGTCCGGGAGCAGGACGTCGGTGTGGTCGCGATGTGGCTGGAGGTCCGGAGGTCAATATATTATAGTTACATAACCTAGTAGATATTTGCATTTGATAACAGTGTGCACAGTGACTTGCAAAAGTATTCACCCTCCTTGGGATTCTCCCTATTTTGTTGCCTTACAAATGGAATTAAAATAGATTTGGGGGGGGGGGGGGGGTTGTATCATTTGATTTACACAACATGCCTACCACTTTGAAGATGCAAAATATTTTGTATTGTGAAACAAACAAGAAATAAGACAAAAAACAGAAAACTTGAGCGTGCATAACTATTCACCTCCCCAAAGTCAATACTTTGTAGAGCCAACTTTTGCAGCAATTACAGCTGCAAGTCTCTTGGGGTATGTTTCTATAAGCTTGGCACATCTAGCCACTGGGATTATTGCCCATTCTTCAAGGCGAAACTGCTCCAGCTCCTTCAAGTTGGATGGGTTCCGCTGGTGTACAGCAATCTTTAAGTCATACCACAGATTCTCAATTGGATTGAGGTCTGGGCTTTGACTAGGCCATTCAAAGACATTTAAATGTTTCCCCTTAAACCACTCAAGTGTTGCTTTAGCAGTATGCTTAGGGTCATTGTCCTGCTGGAAGGTGAACCTCCGTCCCAGTCTCAAATCTCTGGAAGATTGAAACAGGTTTCCCTCAAGAATTTCCCTGTATTTAGCCGCATCCATTATTCCTTCAATTCTGACCAGTTTCCCAGTCCCTGCCGATTAAAAACATGCCCACAGCATGATGCTGCCACCACCATGCTTCACTGTGGAGGTGGTGTTCTTGGGGTGATGAGAGGTGTGGGATGTTCAAAGTTTCAGATATTTTTTATAACCCAACCCTGATCTGTACTTCTCCACAGCTTTGTCCCTGACCTGTTTGGAGAGCTCCTTGGTCTTCATGGTGCCCCTTGCTTAGTGGTGTTGCAGACTCTGGGGCCTTTCAGAACAGGTGTATATATACTGAGATCATGTGACACTTAGATTGCACACAGGTGGACTTTATTTAACTAATTATGTGACTTCTGAAGGTAATTGGTTGCACCAGATCTTATTTAGGAGCTTCATAGCAAAGGGGGTGAATACATATGCACACACCACTTTTCCGTTATTAATTTTTTAGAATTAAGTAATTTTTTTCATTCCACTTCACCAATTTGGACTATTTTGTGTATGTCCATTACATGAAATCCAAATAAAAATCAATTAAAATTACAGATTGTAATGCAACAAAATAGGAAAAACGCCAAGGAGGATGAATACTTTTCCAAGGGGAAGAAAAACAATTGTACGTCTCGTGTCTGAGCTGTTGAATTACGACTCCACTTTGTCTCTGTGCTGATGTTTTTCCTGTTTGATTACCTTACGGAGGGTATAGGAGGAGCAGAAGGGAGTTGTGATCTGATTTGCCGAAGGGAGGGCGGGGAGGGCCTTGTAGCCATCCCGGAAGGGAGAGTGACAATGGTCGAGAGTTTTTGAAGCGCGAGTACTGCAGGCAATGTGTTGATAGAACTTCGGTAGTGTTTTCCTCAGATTTGCTTTGTTAAAGTCCCCAGCTACATTAAATGCAGCCTCTGGATATGGGGTTTCCAGTTTGCATAAAGTCCAGTGTAGTTTCTTGAGAGCCGTCGTGGTATTGGCTTGAGGGGGAATATACACGGCTGTGACTATAACCGAAGATAATTATCTTGGGAGGTAATACGGTCGACATTTGATTGTGAGGTATTCTAGGTCGGGTGAACAAAAGGACTTGAGTTCCTGTACGTTACCACAATCACACCATGAGTAGTTAATTACGAAACATACACCTCCACCTTTCTTCTTCCAGGAGAGTTCTTTATTCCTGTCCGCGCGATGTACTGAGAACCAAGCTGGCTGTATGGACGGGGACAGTATATCCGGAGAGAGCCATGATTCTGTGAAACAGAGTATGTTACAGTCCCTGATGTCTCTCTGGAAGGAGATCCTCGCCCTGAGCTCGTCTACTTTATTGTCCAGGGAATGAATATTAGCGAGTAATATACTCGGAAGCGGTGGATGGTGTGCACGCCTCCTGAGTCGGACTAGAAGTCCACTCCGAATACCTCTTCTCCGCCAGCGGCTTCTTAGAGCAGCCTCTGGGATAAGTTCAGTTGCCTTGTGGGGTACGAACAACGGATCCAATTCGGGAAAGTCGTATTTCTGGTCGGAATGCTGGTGAGTTACCGCCGCTCTGATATCCAAACGTTCTTTCCGGCTTTATTTTATAACACAAAAAAAACGTTTTAGGCTAATAATGTAAGAAATAACACAAACATAATAATAATAATGTAAAGCTGCTTAGGAGCTGGAAGCAGAGCTGCCATGTCTGTTGCTGAGGAGCTGGAAGCAGAGCTGCCATGTCTGCTGCTTAGGAGCTGGAAGCAGAGCTGCCATGTCTGTTGCTTAGGAGCAGGAAGCAGAGCTGTCATGTCTGTTGCTTAGGAGCAGGAAGCAGAGCTGCCATGTCTGTTGCTTAGGAGCAGGAAGCAGAGCTGCCATGTCTGTTGCTTAGGAGCTGGAAGCAGAGCTGCCATGTCTGTTGCTGAGGAGCAGGAAGCAGAGCTGCCATGTCTGTTGCTGAGGAGCTGGAAGCAGAGCTGCCATGTCTGCTGCTTAGGAGCTGGAAGCAGAGCTGCCATGTCTGTTGCTTAGGAGCTGGAAGCAGAGCTGCCATGTCTGTTGCTGAGGAGCAGGAAGCAGAGCTGCCATGTCTGTTGCTGAGGAGCTGGAAGCAGAGCTGCCATGTCTGCTGCTTAGGAGCTGGAAGCAGAGCTGCCATGTCTGTTGCTTAGGAGCTGGAAGCAGAGCTGCCATGACTGTTGCTTAGGAGCTGGAAGCAGAGCTGCCATGTCTGTTGCTTAGGAGCTGGAAGCAGAGCTGCCATGTCTGTTGCTTAGGAGCTAGAAGCAGAGCTGCCATGTCTGTTGCTGAGGAGCTGGAAGCAGAGCTGCCATGTCTGTTGCTGAGGAGCTGGAAGCAGAGCTGCCATGTCTGTTGGTGCCATCTTCAGATAGAATAGGGAATCATATCAGCTCTATTCATTATATTTCTATCTGCAACGTTCAGCACGTTTCACGTCCCTGAATACACCCCAGAGGTCCAGGGGGGTTCTGACTTGGTGAATGATCTGAATGAGTGTTTGTGTGTGTGTGGTTGTCTCACCTAGCTATCTTAAGATGAATGCACTAACTGTAAGTGGCTCTGGATAAGAGCGTCTGCTAAATTACTAAAATGTAAATGACTGTGTGTGTGTGTGTGTGTGTGTGTGTGTGTGTGTGTGTGTGTGTGTGTGTGTGTGTGTGTGAGAATGATCTGACCTGCAACGCGGCCAATAGCAGGCCACAGGAGATGGACACACTGATCTCATTGTAGTAATGAGTCTTCTTCTGTCCTCCATCTACAACGCCGTACGTCTGTTTAAAGACCAACACCAGGTAGGGAGCCTCGTCAAGATACTGCTTCACCCAGTTAGTCCTGGGAGAGAGGAAGGAGAGAGGGGAGAGGGGGAGAGAGAGGAGAGATGGAGGGAGGGGGGAGAGAGGGGGAGAGGGGGGAGGAGGGGGAGAGGGGGTGAGAGGGAGAGAGGGAGAGAGGAGGTGGGGGGATGAGAGGGGGAGAGGGGGAGGGGGGAGAGGGAGAGCTGGATGGGAGGGGAGAGAGGGGAGAGAGGGGGCGAGCGAGGGTCGGGGGTAGAGAGGGCAGGGGTGAGGGGGAGAGGGGGCCGGGGGGATGGCTGAGGGGGAGCGGAGGAGATAAGGGGAGAGAGGGAGATGGAGGAGGTGGAGGGGGGAGATGGATGGCGGGGAGAGGGGGGGCGGGGGACAAGAGGAAGAGGCGGAGATCGTTGGGGGAGGGGAGATGGAGAGGAGGGGTGAGGGGTAGAGGAGGGAGAGAGGGGGAGATGGAGAGGGAAAGAGAGAGAGAAAAATATTATCTGACTTGCGTGCATGTGTGTGCATGTTGTATGTCTGCGTGTGTGTGCGTCTATATAGTGTATATCTACATGGTGTATATCTACATGGTGTATATCTACATGGTGTATATCTACATGGTGTATATCTACATGGTGTATATCTACATAGTGTATATCTACATGGTGTATATCTACATGGTGTATATCTACATGGTGTATATCTACATAGTGTATATCTACATAGTGTATATCTACATGGTGTATATCTACATGGTGTATATCTACATGGTGTGTGTCTACATGGTGTATATCTACATGGTGTATATCTACATGGTGTATATCTACATGGTGTATATCTACATGGTGTGTGTCTACATGGTGTATATCTACATGGTGTATATCTACATGGTGTATATCTACATGGTGTATATCTACATGGTGTATATCTACATAGTGTATATCTACATGGTGTATATCTACATGGTGTATATCTACATGGTGTGTGTACTGTGCTTCCTATCTGACCTGAGCCTCTGCAGGTCACTGACCCACTTGTCCCCCATCCTCTGACGGTAGTTGACCTCCTCCTCCTCCTCCACCACTAGCCTGATCTGGTGCTTCACCTCTGGGTCTGACACCACCACAAACGTCCAGGGCTCTGTGTGGGCTCCACTGGGGGCTGTGCCTGGACAACACAGACAACACATTCATGTATGTGTGTGTGTGTGTGTGTGTGTGTGTGTGTGTGTGTGTGTGTGTGTGCATTATGCATGTGTTACCTGCGGTGCGGATGACGTTGTCGATGACCTGTCGTGGAACGGGCTCGGGGCTGATGAAGCGGACGGACCTCCTCTGGTTCATCAGGCTGTAGAAGTCCTGTGACCTCTGAACCATGACCTCTACGGGGTACCGAGAAGCCAGGTAGGGCACGTGGGCCAGCTCCTCCTCCCCACCACTCTCCACCCAATCACCATCATCTAAAACCAGACAGACAGGGGGGAAGACCAATCACCATCATCTAAAACCAGACAGACAGGGGGGAAGACCAATCACCATCATCTAAAACCAGACAGACAGGGGGGGGAAGACCAATCACCATCATCTAAAACCAGACAGGCAGGGGGGGAAGACCAATCACCATCATCTAAAACCAGACAGACAGGGGGGAAGACCAATCACCATCAACTAAAACCAGATAGACAGGGGGGGAAGACCAATCACCATCATCTAAAACCAGACAGACAGGGGGGAAGACCAATCACCATCAACTAAAACCAGACAGGCAGGGGGGGGAGACCAATCACCATCATCTAAAACCAGACAGACAGGGGGGAAGACCAATCACCATCATCTAAAACCAGACAGGCAGGGGGGAAGACCAATCACCATCATCTAAAACCAGACAGACAGGGGGGAAGACCAATCACCATCAACTAAAACCAGACAGGCAGGGGGGGAAGACCAATCACCATCATCTAAAACCAGACAGACAGGGGGGAAGACCAATCACCATCATCTAAAACCAGACAGACAGGGGGGAAGACCAATCACCATCATCTAAAACCAGACAGACAGGGGGGAAGACCAATTGTCTGAATTATGAATCTACAGAAAACAAGGCTTTTTTTAATTGTAGGCGGTTTTGAACACGGTTTAAAGGCGCAATCTGCAAATTTTAACTTCTAGTCAGATGTGCATATCGTGCACTTATTTGTTGACTGTGGGTTGGGCTTGGTAAGTGTAACCATCTGTATTGCTACTTGGCCGAATGGGTTCATTCATACTACCTTGAGTTGCACTGATATGTTCTGTGGTTCCCTGTGGTTAATTATCTGTTCTGTGGTTAATTATCTGTTCTGTGGTTAATGATCTGTTCTGTGGTTCCCTGTGGTTAATTATCTGTTCTGTGGTTAATTATCTGTTCTGTGGTTAATGATCTGTTCTGTGGTTAATTATCTATTCTGTGGTTAATTATCTGTTATGTGGTTAATGATCTGTTCTGTGGTTCCCTGTGGTTAATTATCTGTTCTGTGGTTAATGATCTGTTCTGTGATTCCCTTTGGGTAATGATCTGTTCTGTGATTCCCTTTGGTTAATGATCTGTTCTGTGTTTAATGATCTGTTCTGTGATTCCCTTTGGTTAATGATCTGTTCTGTGGTTAATGATCTGTTCTGTCATTCCCTGTGGTTAATGATCTGTTCTGTGGTTAATCATCTGTTCTGTGGTTAATGATCTGTTCTGTCGTTCCCTTTGGGTAATGGTCTGTTCTGTGGTTAATGATCTGTTCTGTGGTTAATGATCTGTTCTGTGGTTAATGATCTGTTCTGTCGTTCCCTTTGGGTAATGGTCTGTTCTGTGGTTAATGATCTGTTCTGTGGTTAATGATCTGTTCTGTGGTTAATGATCTGTTCTGTCGTTCCCTTTGGGTAATGGTCTGTTCTGTGGTTAATGATCTGTTCTGTGGTTAATGATCTGTTCTGTGGTTAATCATCTGTTCTGTGGTTAATAATCTGTTCTGTCATTCCCTGTGGTTTATTATCTGTTCTGTGTTTAATTATTTGTTCTGTGGTTAATGATCTGTTCTGTGGTTAATGATCTGTTCTGTCGTTCCCTGTGGTTAATGATCTCTCTCTTTCTCTCTCTCATCTTGGCAGTCATTTTCTCGCTTTGGGTTCAAAGGTTGAGTAATATACAGACAGAGACTGTAGACTGAGGGGGATTGACACACACAACATTGTTCTGTGTAATTGCAGTTGTTTTTGATAAAAAATGTCACCCCTCAACTCCATCATAAACCGTGGAGTTGAGTTGGCTAGGCCTAGAGTCAAGGGCTATATGTTGAAACCAGATGACATGATGAACTGTGCACATTAGCCTACATATACAGTTGAAGTCTGAAGTTTACATACACTTAGGTTGGAGTCATTAAAACTCGTTTTTCAACCACTCCACAAATTTCTTGTTAACAAACTAGAGTTTTGGCAAGTCGGTTAGGACATCTACTTTGTGCATGACACAAGTCATTTTTCCAACAATTGTTTACAGACAGATTATTTCACTTTTAATTCACTGTATCACAATTCCAGTGGGTCAGAAGTTTACATACACTAAGTTGACTGTGCCTTTCAACAGCTTGGAAAATTCCAGAAAATGATGTCATGGCTTTAGAAGCTTCTGATAGGCTAATTGACATAATTTGAGTCAATTGGAGGTGTACCTGTGGATGTATTTCAAGGCCTACCTTCAAACTCAGTGCCTCTTTGCTTGACATCCTGGGAAAATCAAAATAAATCAGCCAAGACCTCAGAAAAACAATTGTAGACCTCCACAAGTCTGGTTCATCCTTGGGAGCAATTTCCAAACGCCTGAAGGTACCACGTTCATCTGTACAAACAATAGTACGCAAGTGTAAACACCATGGGACCACGCAGCCGTCATACCGCTCAGGAAGGAGACGCGTTCTGTCTCCTTGAGATGAACGTACTTTGGTGCAAAAAGTGCAAATCAATCCCAGAACAACAGCAAAGGACCTTGTGAAGATGCTGGAGGAAACAGGTACAAAAGTATCTATATCCACAGTAAAACGAGTCCTATATCGACATAACCTGAAAGGCTGCTCAGCAAGGAAGAAGCCACTGCTCCAAAACTGCCATAAAAAAGCCAGACTACGGTTTGCAACTGCACATGGGGACAAAGATCGTACTTTTTGGAGAAATGTCCTCTGGTCTGATGAAACAAAAATATAACTGTTTGGCCATAATGACCATCGTTATGTTTGGAGGAAAAAGGGGTCGGCTTGCAAGCCGAAGAACACCATCCCAACCGTGAAGTACGGGGGTGGCAGCATCATGCTGTGGGGGTGCTTTGCTGCAGGAGGGACTGGTGCACTTCACAAAATAGATGGCATCATGAGGAAGGAAAATTATGTGGATATATTGAAGCAACATCTCAAGACATCAGTCAGGAAGTTAAAGCTTGGTCGCAAATGGGTCTTCCAAATGGACAATGACCCCAAGCATACTTCCAAAGTTGTGGCAAAATGGCTTAAGGACAACAAAGTCAAGGTATTGGAGTAGCCATCACAAAACCCTGACCTCAATCCTATAGAAAATGTGTGGGTAGAACTGAAAAAGCGTGTGCGAGCAAGGAGGCCTACAAACCTGACTCAGTTACACCAGCTCTGTCAGGAGGAATGGGCCTAAATTCACCCAACTTATTGTGGGAAGCTTGTGGAAGGCTCCACGAAACGTTTGACCCAAGTTAAACAATTTAAAGGCAACGCTACCAAATACTAATTGAGTGTATGTAAACTTCTGACCCACTGGGAATGTGATGAAAGAAATAAAATCTGAAATAAATCATTGTCTCTACTATTATTCTGACATTTCACATTCTTAAAATAAAGTGGTGATCCTAACTGAACTAAGACAGGGAATTTTTACTACGATTAAAATGTCAGGAATTGTGAAAAAAAGAGTTACAATTTATTTGGCTAAGGTGTATGTAAACTTCCAACTTAATTTACATTTTAGTCATTTAGCAGACACTCTTATCCAGAGCGACTTACATGAGCAATTAGGGTTAAGCTTTAATTTAAGGGCACATCGACAGATTTTTCACCTAGTCGGCTCGGGGATTAGAACCAGCGACCTTTCGGGTACTGGCACAATGCTCTTACCCACTGAGCTACCTGCCGCCAAACTTTAACTGTAGCAGGTAGCAGCAGGTCTCTCTGTTTCACCCAGCTGACCTAGAGGAGTGCTATGACGCAGAGAAACCAGTCGACTGCACCGGTGGCTTTAGTAGCATGTTATTCATAGGCTACACTACATGCAACCTTTACCACAATGGTATTCAAAGTCGGGGGTGGCGTCTCCTAGTGGGCTCGCTGGGGGACTGCAGTGAGGTCCACCCCGCAAAAAAAAAAACGCTTTTAATTTTTTTTGGGAACAAGTACAGATTATTGTATGGGACACTATACAAACGTTTTTGAGAAAGATAATTTGAAAAATACAATTTTATCGAGTAAATGTATTTATTGGTTTGTTTTCATTTTGATAAGATATTGAAGTAAAAATGTAAATGTCCCGATATTAAGGGTGTATTTGGGGTCCCCAGAAATTCTGGCAAAAGAAATAGGGTCCAGTCTGAAAAAGTTTAAATACCACTGCTTTACAATAAGGCCCTTTCTCAGTCCGTTATTTTCGTCCAAATAATTTGGATGAAAAAAATAAATACGAACACGTCTTGTTTGTTATGGCATTCACACCAATTGCGAAATATCGTCCTGCCACAATCCGTCAATTTTATTTATTCGGTACAGGTTCGATTGTTGCGTATTTTCGCATGCGGAAAATAAGCTGTTGACCAATAGAAAATGGTAATTTCCTTTCAAATCCATGAAAGGGAAGTAAAGAAGTGCACGCTTCGGTAGATAGGAGAGGTTATTGGGATACCTACCTTCTTCTTTGGTTCTGATCTCTGTGTCGTCCTGCAGATCCTCATCCACCCACGGTCGGACCTCAGCCGCGGGCTTCACTTCCTTCATCTCTTTCTTCTGAAAACTTTTTAAAAGAACAGCTAGGATCACGCATAAAACAGCCACAAACACCGGTGTGAGAGTGGAGAGAAGGGCCATGCTGACTGACGGCAATATTCTGTACAACAACTGATAGAAACAGATAGTCTGCCAGCCAGGCAGGCGTTCCGCTGCTCAATGGATCTCGTTCGTCCCAAAATGGCACCCTATCTCCCTATGTAGTGCACTACTTTGACCTGGACCCATAGGGATCTGGTCAAAAGTAGTGCACTGTGTAGGGAACAGGGTGTTATTTGGGATACATTCCCTGGTTGCGAAACAGTTCGGAGTCAGGGGGAGTTGAGTTGACTGGGTTAATCATCAAACAATGGCGCACTGAACTACACTGCATGACTCAATAGGCTTTATTTCTAGATTATACATTAGGCATATAACATCTATAAGGCTATAAATATAGGCTACTTTAAAAAGTTAGGAGCACCAATCAGTATTTAAGAAAATAGACGTTGATGTTGATATTGTCTATAGCTTACATCTGGGGCGATATGAATCCTACACTGTGAAATCAAGTGTTTAGGATTTGAAAACATAACTACTTTTCTGTAACACTTTTTAAAGAACCTGGTGGTAGACGTAGCCCTTGATCGGGACCCTCAGTTCCACCACATTACACAGAAGAGTCATTGGACGAAGGCAGTCTTCTGTACGGGGTTAAGATCTCTGACGCCCGGTGCGAACATTAACGCGCTGCGGTACGGTTTTGGAAGCACAAGGACCTTATATTTCATATAAATGAGAAATAATTTGAAAAGAACGGAAGGTTAAATTGATACACACCTTGATAGGGTTAGGGTTAGTGTTCCCACACGGCCACATCTCCACGTTACAGCGCTTGTTAACGGGAAACAGACGGAAGACAAGAGGTGACCACCTGTGCTAATTAGCTAGCTAACATGGCTCTGAACTCCTGTGTGTAAGCTTAACTCTGGAAGTGTAGTTTAGTAGGATGGAGGCACCATAGCTGTATGAATCTGTAACTTCTACAGTAAGTGTATATTTTTTATTTGCAGGATTCTTTAGGGAGAAGGCTGAATGTCTGAGGACTGTAGGGAGAAGGCTGAATGTCTGAGAACTGTAGGGAGAAGGCTGAATGTCTGAGAACTGTAGGGAGAAGGCTGAATGTCTGAGGACTGTAGGGAGAAAGCTGAATGCCTGAGAACTATAGGGAGAAGGCTGAATGTCTGAGAACTGTAGGGAGAAGGCTGAATGTCTGAGAACTGTAGGGAGAAAGCTGAATGTCTGAGAACTAGGGAGAAGGCTGAATGTCTTAAACTGTAGGGAGAAGGCTGAATGTCTTAAACTGTAGGGAGAAGGCTGAATGTCTGAGGACTGTAGGGAGAAGGCTGAATGTCTTAAACTGTAGGGAGAAGGCTGAATGTCTTAAACTGTAGGGAGAAGGCTGAATGTCTGAGGACTGTAGGGAGAAGGCTGAATGTCTTAAACTGTAGGGAGAAGGCTGAATGTCTGAGGACTGTAGGGAGAAGGCTGAATGTCTTAAACTGTAGGGAGAAGGCTGAATGTCTTAAACTGAAGGGAGAAGGCTGAATGTCTTAAACTGTAGGGAGAAGGCAGAATGTCTTAAACTGTAGGGAGAAGGCTGAATGTCTGAGGACTGTAGGGAGAAGGCTGAATGTCTGAGGACTGTAGGGAGAAGGCTGAATGTCTGAGAACTGTAGGGAGAAGGCTGAATGTCTGAGGACTGTAGGGAGAAGGCTGAATGTCTTAAACTGTAGGGAGAAGGCTGAATGTCTTAAACTGTAGGGAGAAGGCTGAATGTCTTAAACTGTAGGGAGAAGGCTGAATGTCTGAGAACTGTAGGGAGAAGGCTGAATGTCTGAGAACTGTAGGGAGATGGCTGAATGTCTTAAACTGTAGGGAGAAGGCTGAACGTCTTAAACTGTAGGGAGAAGGCAGAATGTCTTAAACTGTAGGGAGAAGGCTGAATGTCTGAGGACTGTAGGGAGAAGGCTGAATGTCTTAAACTGTAGGGAGAAGGCTGAATGTCTGAGGACTGTAGGGAGAAGGCTGAATGTCTTAAACTGTAGGGAGAAGGCAGAATGTCTTAAACTGTAGGGAGAAGGCTGAATGTCTTAAACTGAAGGGAGAAGGCTGAATGTCTTAAACTATAGGGAGAAGGCAGAATGTCTTAAACTGTAGGGAGAAGGCTGAATGTCTGAGGACTGTAGGGAGAAGGCTGAATGTCTGAGGACTGTAGGGAGAAGGCTGAATGTCTGAGAACTGTAGGGAGAAGGCTGAATGTCTGAGAACTGTAGGGAGAAGGCTGAATGTCTGAGGACTGTAGGGAGAAGTCTTACGTTTTTTTTATTTTTTTTTATAACCTGTTTTTGCTTTAGCATTATGGGGTATTGTGTGTAGATTGATGAGGGAAAAAAAACAATTTAATCAATTTTAGAATAAGACTATAACGTAAAAAAATGTAGGGATTGGAACGCTGACTGCGAGCCAGGCCTAATCGCCCAACATCAGTGCCCAACCTCACTAATGCTCTTGTGGCTGAATGGAAGCAAGTCCCAACTGCAATGTTCCAACATCTAGTGGAAAGCCTTCCCAGAAGAGTGGAGGCTGTTATAGCAGCAAAGGGGGGACCAACTCCATATTAATGCCCATTTTGGAATGAGATGTTCGACGAGCAGATGTCCACATACTTTTGGTAATGTAGTGTATCTTACCTGTCGTATGAATATCCTTTTCTGACTCAAATAGAATTCCCTCAAGATTGTTCTGATATCCACATTTTTGGGATTACAATTCACACACCTACTGAAGCTGGATCGTGTGTTTTATAATTCCTGGAAATATAGAATTCTGTCAGACCAACGTTTCAGACATGTCAAGTTCATTTAATTTTACTTTTTGCCTCTAATCTTTAAAATCACTCTCTCAACCAGTGAGTTACCCACCATTGGGTCCATCTCCAGGGTTAGAAGGTTCTCCCTTGTGAGGCATATGTGGCCATCTTTAATGATCAATGCATTGTGTGGCCTGGCTCTCATCCAATACATAGTTGATCTAGAGATGAAATACATGTTTTACGAAACTGTGGGTACAGGAGGACCAGGGTTGTGGGTACAGGAGGACCAGGGTTGTGGGTACAGGAGGACCAGGGTTGGGGGTACAGGAGGACCAGGGTTGGGGGTACAGGAGGACCAGGGTTGTGGGTACAGGAGGACCAGGGTTGGGAAACACTGCTTTAGACTCACACTACAGTTGGTAGAGTGGTTGAAGCTCTGGAGATATCTTGATATCAAGATAAAGGACATCAGCATACACTCCAATGAAAATAATATATTTGAATGCCAAATGTACTGCTTGAATGTCTTTTCATAGTGAGTGAGCTCAAGGATCAACCTGAAACTTTTGATGCGGAGGTGAACGCTGAGGAATTCTCGGAATCTGTCTTTGGAGAGGGTTGCCAGTGGTTTGATTTTACGTAAGTATAAGCAATCGATTCATACATTGGATTGCACATTAGATTCAAACATTGGGCTGTAACATGCCCAGGAAGCATTAGCATTAGCCTCCCCCGGCTCCTGTCCACACTGTGCCCTTTTCACTATGAACAGCCTCCGTCGCAGGCTAGCACGCCAAGCTAGCACGCCAAGCTAGCCTGAGTCAACAGAACCCTAACATTGGGGCTGGCGTCCCCGATGACTCATCAGAGGCCATGGATATCCCCACGGGTAATCCTGATGGATAGCGCTAGCTGGGGCGACCAGCTCGATGCCGTTGCCCCGCTGTTAGAGGACTCCAGCAACAACCTCGCGACCTCCCTGCCCTGCTTCCTGATAGGAGACAACAATGACAGCCTCCTTTCGGAATCATCTGAAGGAGATGAAGACTCCTTCATCCCCTCAGGCCAGGCCACCAAACCTCCTGCCGGGGAATCCGAAACCGGACACACAGGTTGGGCTCCACCCCCACCAGCGCTCGGTGTGGACCTGCAGGACATGTGCAAACGCCCTGCGGATAAACTGGTGATTCCTTGGCCCAATGCAATAGCAGAGACCACCACGTCCCGCTACGAGGGTAAGAGACTACCCAAAGCCAAACGGGCGGCCAGGCAATTACTACCAGTCTTCCCAGAATGCCTGGAGGAGATTACCCGTACACCTTTCTCCTCCAAGAACCCTGTCCAAGGTGGATCAGTGTTGGACTGCGTTGACATGGAAGGGATTGGGCTTGCCCACATGCCCCCCATTGAACCACTGGTGGCTTCCCATCTACACCCACCTTACCAACCAAGTACGAGCGCTTCCAGTCCTCCGCGACAGAGATGATCTACAGGTGGGTTGCCACAGTGTGGAGGGCTCTCAGCACTGCCTCCATGCTCTCGGCATACCAAGCTGAGGTACAGGAGGAGATAGCGGTCACATCGGAGCCGGGTTTATGGGACAAGATCTGAATTGCCACAGACCTCAACCTGCGTCTACTTAAAACCACCGTCCAGGTGTCAGGAAGAGCGATGGGGCTCATGATATTGCAAGAGAAGGCGCGATGGCTCAATCTATCCACGGTGTCTCATAGTGAGAAGCTGAAGATCCTGGATGATCCAGTAGACCCTAAAGGCCTTTTCCACCGTCAAAATGATGCAGAAACGGTGCGAGGAGAAAAAGAGGGAGGGTGAAGCCCTACAGCTCTGTCTTCCCAGGAAGACACAGACCAGTGCCTCCCCTCTGCCTCCCCAGTGCCTCCCCTGTGCCTCCCCCGTGCCTCCCCAGTGCCTCACCGCACCTTTTCCCAGGCTGCAACAGGTCGACCCCCGTCAACCTTTAAGATCCCCAGAGGCCCAGCCCCCCAGGTTGTGAGCCCAGGGCAGCAGAGAACCTTGGACCCTAAGGGCCCCTGGTCTAAGAAGCCTCCCTTCCCACCCATGGCACCAAGGAGCCAGCCGGTTCCTAACCCCACCCAGGGGAGGAAGAAGCAGTTGGCCTACCGGTGTCCCCTCCGCCAATCTTGAGCTTGTTCCAGGGTGCAAGTTCCCAGGCACCTCAGTGTTCTTTCCGGCATACCGGGCCCAAGATGGTGGCAACAGAGTACAACCCAAAGAGGAGAAGAGACAATGTTCAGGTGGATGCTCCTACAAGTCCCCCCTCCTGTCTCATAAACACTCCCCAATGTCAGTTCACATAAAACATTTTAACACTAGCGCATCCAGGCTTCAGGCCAAGGCCGCAGTCAGACATGTTGTTTCTCACAAAATCAAAACAAACAGGGTGCCTCCCTATAACGCCACCAAAAGGCGCTATCGCTCCTTCTATGGTGATAGGCCACATAAGCGCTCTCCCGGTGCGGGCCAGCCGAGCATGCGCAGTGCGTCTTTGGGGGAAATTCCCGTCAGCCCTCTCTCGGAGCGGAGAGAGAACTGGCGGGCATGCTCAGGGTCATACTGGGTACAGGGCACTATAGACAGGGGATACAGACTACAATTCGCTGTCACCCCGCCTCATTTCAAGGGATTCATACACACTCAGGTTCAGGGGGAATCAGCGCGTGTCCTCCAGTAAGAAATCACATCGCTAATTGGGATAAGGGCAATAAGAATTGTTCCTTCCCAGCAAAGCCACTGCGGTTTTTACTCTAGATATTTACTGGTTCTAAAAAAGGGGGGGCGGCATACACCCGATCCTAGATCTAAGCGCTTTGAACAGGCACATGAGAAAGTACACGTTCAGAAGGTTGACACACTGCTCTGCTATGTTCTGTGCGCCAAGGAGATTGGTTCGTATCCGTCGACCTGAAGGATGCTTACTTTCACATCTCAATATACCCTCATCACAGGTTTAACCCTAGATTCGGCATCATTCAAAGCTCGCTTTTCAGTGGAAGGTCTAAGAACATTCCAGAATTGCCTAGCACTGTTTCGCAAAGGGAATCTGGTCTCTTTCAAAACATACCTGAGGCTGCTAGGTTTGATGGCATCGGCTTTAGTAGTCATCTCATTAGGACGCCTGAATATGAGAGGGTTTCAACGCTAGGTCTCTCCTCTGGGTCTGAGCCCAGGCTACTACTGGTGAATGTAGGCTACTACTGGTGAATGTAGGCTACTACTGGTGAATGTAGGCTACTACTGGTGAATGTAGGCTACTACTGGTGAATGTAGGCTACTACTGGTGAATGTAGGCTACTACTGATTAATATAGGCTACTACTGATTAATGTAGGCTACTACTGGTGAATGTAGGCTGCTACTGGTGAATGTAGGCTGCTACTGATTAATGTAGGCTACTACTGATGAATGTAGGCTGCTACTGATTAATGTAGGCTACTACTGATGAATGTAGGCTGCTACTGGTGAATGTAGGCTACTACTGGTGAATGTAGGCTGCTACTGGTGAATGTAGGCTACTACTGATTAATGTAGGCTGCTACTGATTAATGTAGGCTACTACTGGTTAATGTAGGCTGCTACTGATTAATGTAGGCTACTACTGGTTAATGTAGGCTACTACTGGTTAATGTAGGCTACTACTGGTTAATGTAGGCTACTACTGGTTAATGTAGGCTACTACTGGTTAATGTAGGCTACTACTGGTTAATGTAGGCTACTACTGGTGAATGTAGGCTGCTACTGATTAATATATGTCATGGGGATACTGGAGAGACGTGCCTTGTGCATCTGTGCATCTGAGCCACCCTCCCCTTCTTGGACCGTGGCATCTCTGAGCCACCCTCCCCTTCTTGGACCATGGCACCCCCGCGGCCTCTTCAATGGATTAGTCCACTGAGATAGGTGAAAATCAGACAGCTGTCATGTGTGCCATGAACATGTTGTATCTATACTGAACATAAAGATAAAAGCAACATTTAAAGTGTTGGTCCCATGTTTCATGAGCTGAAATAAATCATCCCAGAATTTTTCCATACAAACATAAAGCTTATTTCTCTCAAATGCTGTGCATACATTTGTTTACATCCCTGTTAGTGAGCATTTCTTATTTGCCAAGATAATCCATCCACCTGACATGTGTGGCATATCTCCCAGTGCCTGGTGGAAAGCAGAATGTACCAGGTTTTCCTCTAGGATTTTGCCTGTGCTTAGTTCCATTCAGTTTCTTTTTTATCCTGAAAAACTCCCCAGTCTTTAACTATTACAAGCATACCCATAACATGATGTAGCCACCACTATGCTTCAAAATATGGAGAGTTGTACTCAGTAATGTGTCATATTGGATTTGCCCCAAACATAACACGTTGTATTCAGGACAAAAAGTGAATTGCTTTGCCACACTTTTTGCAGTATTACTTTAGTGCCTTATTCCAAACAGGATGCATGTTTTTGAATATTTTTATTCTGTACACGCTTCCTTCTTTTCACTCTGTCATTTAGGTTAGTATTGTGGTGTAACTAAAATGTTGTTGATCCATCCTCAGTTTTCTCCTATCACAGCCATTACTCTGTAACAGTTTTAAAGTCACCATTGGCCTCATGGTGAAATCCCTGAGCGATTTCCATCCTCTCCGGCAACTGAGTTAGGAAGGACGCCTGTATCTTTGTAGTGACTGGGTGTATTGATACACCATCCAAAGTGTAATTAATAACTTCACCATGCTCAAAGGGATATTCAATGTCTGCTTTTACATTTTTTTTTACCAATCTACCAATAGTTGCCCTTCTTTGCGAGGCATTGGAAAACCTCCCTGGTCTTTGTGGTTGCATCTGTGTTTGAAATTCACTGCTCGACTGAGGGACCTTACAGATAATTGTATGTGTGGGGTACAGCACAGGAGATTGGTGGCACCTTTAATTGGGGAGGATTGGTATAAAATACATCAAACACCCAGTCACTACAAAAACTACAGTTTTCAGGTGTTTTCAGCCATTCCATTCGCTCCATTCTGGACATTATTATGAACCTTCCTCCCCTCAGCAGCCTCCTGTGGGTTACAGAGATGAGGTAGTCATTCAAATATCATGTTAAAACACAAAAATCATGTTAAACACTATTA